TAATAGTCAATACCGTAGTGACAGTAACGTTGATCAATTGCGGAACTGCAATATATCATTGCCTACCAATCCTCTTTCACCCAACAAGCCCCCCACGAGTAAGCATAAAAGCAATTCCTCGCAAAATGGGAGCTGTAATTTTGGACATGGGGAGGGGGAGGAGGTTCTTAGGGTTGAGGATGCTGTGTGTACAATAAAGGATCTTGATAATGGGAAGGAATTTGTGGTGAATGAAGTGAGGGAGGATGGAATGTGGAACAAGCTTAAGGAAGTAGGTACGGGAAGGCAGCTGACCATGGAAGAATTTGAGATGTGTGTTGGGACTTCGCCCATTGTTCAAGAACTGATGAGAAGGCAGAATGTGGAAGATGGGAATAAGGATGGTTTGGATTCGAATGCAAATGATAGTAGTGGCAGTGGCTCTAAATTGAAGAAGAGGGGAGGCTGGTTAAAGAGCATTAGGAATGTGGCAAACTCCATGACTGGTTATAAGGAGCGAAGGAGTAGTGATGAGAGAGATACTTCGTCAGAGAAAGGTGGGAGAAGGTCAAGCTCTGCAACAGATGATAGCCAGGATGCATCTTTTCATGGTCCGGAGAGAGTTCGAGTTCGACAGTATGGGAAATCTTGTAAAGAACTTTCAGCACTCTACAAAACCCAGGAAATTCAGGCTCATAGCGGGCCTATTTGGACTATCAAATTCAGTTTGGATGGGAAATATCTTGCTAGTGCTGGTGAGGACTGTGCCATACATGTCTGGCAGGTTACAGAATTAGAGAGGAAAGATGACATGCTACTGGATAAACCTGATGATGGGAGCTTGAATGTGATTGTCCTCACAAATGGGTCCTCTGAGCCGACTTCTGGGTCACCAAGTTTGGATGGTCACACAGAGAACAAGAGAAGTGGAAAATCATCCATAAACCGTAAATCAGTGAGCTTCGACCATGTTTTGGTGCCAGAGACTGTATTTGCCCTGTCAGAGAAACCCATCTGTTCTCTTGAGGGACATGAACTAGCTGTACTAGACCTCTCCTGGTCCAAATCTCAGGTTGGCTAATATCCTTATTTTGTTTTGACCTTGAACTTTCCTGTTATACTTTGGCAGTGTGACAACTAGACTATTGAATCAACACCCAGCATTTCTCTTCTTTTTATTTCCCTTCCATTTAGGGTCTTCTGCAATAGAGTTGCATGAAATTTACCTTAGGGTATATCATTCTTGACTAAAGAATGCCAATGTAAACCCCATATTATCCCCTATCAGGCATCTCTTTCAGCTCAGTTATTGGAAACTCATTTCTCTTCTCTTGTAGATTGGTAATATTTGTCATCGCATTTAAGTACTACTCTACTATGTAAGACCTACTTGATGTAAAACGATAACATCAATTTGCAGATTGCTTTATCATTGTGTGCTTTTATTTTTTCACTTTTTTCGTTGAGGCACAATTTGGACTGACATTGATGTTAAAAGTTAAAACTAACACAATTCTGCAATATGGGGAACGAGTACACCATGACATAACTGTTGTGCAAACATCTCAGTGAGTGGTGTCTTGGATAGGAAGGTATGAGGAGGCATTATTTCATGACTTAAATATGTCTTGGTTATACTAATTGCTATGCGGTGTAAGCTTTTAATGTCAAGACTGACATTTTCTTTTTCCATTTTGAATATAAGACTGATTTTTTTCCCCATTGAACATTTGCTCTCCTTGTTTTCTATGTTTCACATTTCTGCCCTTTCATGTATCTGATGCCATATATTCAGTATTTGATTGCAAATATGTGCACTGTTACTTTAGTGATTGTGAATACTGTGTATGACTAGTTGTCAAATATTTTTGGTATTGTACACATATATGTTTTCGATTTTCTAGATACTGGTCGAGGAACAAATAGGAAATTCATTCACATAGAAGTTGAATTCACATTTTGAACAGATTAACATTTATTCCTTTTTGGGATTTCCAGGATATATCCTTTCATCTTCAGTATTTTCGTGACACATTCATTGGTGTTTTTAAAATCCTTGCTTCTTTTGCAGCGCTTGCTCTCGTCTTCAATGGATAAAACAGTACGACTCTGGGATTTATCTAGCAAATATTGTTTAAAGGTCTTCTCACACAGTGAGTTTGGTAAGTGCATGAACATGAAGTTCTAATGTTCTATATATCTTGCTTTCTTTCTTTGGGGTGGGCTCTGGAGGTTGATAAATCAAAATGCACCCTTTTTTTTTTTTTTTTTTTTTCCATACAACAATCTAATTGGTAATCAATTGACTGATTTGAGGATATGCCTTGACACAGTAACTTGCATCCAGTTTAACCCTGTTGATGATAGATACTTCATCAGTGGTTCTCTGGATGCTAAGGTTCGTATATGGAGCATTCCTGAGAGGCAAGTTGTTGATTGGAATGATCTGCATGATATGGTTACTGCAGCATGCTACACACCAGATGGTCAGGTGAGGTGCCTATTATCATAGAGCTACTCACTTAACTGCAAATCTGAAATAGAAGACATAGTTATGTATTCTTTTGCTTTAAAGTGTTTTTTGTTTTATGAAGGGTGCACTAGTTGGTTCATATAACGGGAGTTGCCTCTTGTACAACATATCAGGTACCAGTTAATTTTCCTTTGAACTTGTGTGCCATTTCACTCTCCTCTTCCACTTCCCCTCAATTGGGTATATTAAATATCACCCTTGTTGATATATGCTTTTGTTTGGTCATTTTGCATTTTTCAGAGAATAAATTGCAGCAAAAAGGACAAATTAATCTACAGAACAAGAAGAAAAAATCTAATCAAAAGAAAATTACAGGTTTTGAGGTAATAGTTTCATTGAGTGCTACAGTGTGAGGTTTTATACTTCTGTGTGCTTTTGAGTAGTCTAATATGTGTTCATCTTTCTTCCCTCAAATGCTGTTTCCTTTTTGACTTGGTTGGAATGTTTTCTTACAAAACCATACTTCTTGGCAAACAGTTTGTCCCTGGAAGTACATCAGAAGTGCTTGTAACATCTACAGATTCTCGAATTCGGGTTATTGAAGGTGTTGATCTGGTTCACAAGTTCAAAGGTACATTAAACTGATATATTGAATTTTTGTGTTATATAGTGGTGACGAAGAGCTCAATTTAGGCAATGCATGGACTGAATGCAAATTAGGGCCAAAAGTTGGAAACTCAGCGCCATTTACTCAAAATATATCCTATCTTGTAAGATGAATAATTTTGTTACTACTACTAATGGCAGGGTTTCGCAATTCAACTAGTCACTCTGCCTCTCTCTCTGTTGATGGAAGGTATGTGGTCTCTGCCAGTGAAGATTCATACGTTTATGTGTGGAAACATGATGGTGATTCTCGACCAAGTAGGAGCAAAGGGGTTACTGTCACACAGTGTTATGAACAGTTCCACTGTCAAGATGTTTCGGTGGCCATTCCTTGGCCTGGAATGTGTGATACATGGAGATTTCAAGACAACTCTTCTCCAGAACACAGTGGCCCATTTGATCAAACCGACGAGGTCTCCACCTCAAATCATCCGCCTTCGCCTGCTGAAGAGGCATACGGGAACGAATCCTCACCATTGGCTTCTGGCTGCAGTAACAGTCCACTACATGGAATTATATGCGACGCCACAAACAGCTACTTCTTTGATAGAATATCATCAGCAGCATGGCCTGAGGAAAAACTCCTTTCATCAACTAACAAAACCCGGAGCCCTCGTGCCAGCATGGATGCTAGTATTGACTTCTCCAGTGGCCTTTATCAGACAAAGTCTGCCGCCTGGGGCTTGGTCATCGTAACTGCTGATACCCGAGGCGAAATCAGAACTTTCCAAAACTTTGGAATGCCAATACGGATTTAGTTGGGTAAAAGCGTTCAGAAGCCAAATTCAAGTACACAACATTTGTACAGATCATCAGTGAGATTTGTAATATTAGTCGTTTTTATTTCTTGTTCTTGAACCAGTTGGATCTGGGAATTAGATATCACGTCTGCCTGACTAGGCACTAAAGAGTAATATATATATAATATATATATAAACGAAAAAAAATGAAGAAAAATTGTTATTTGAGGTAAAAGTAAGGTACACACTTGTTCAGAAACCGATGGTTTTTTCTGTAATCAGCAATTGTAGAGTGAAGCTTCATGAAATTTTATTGAATTAAACGAAATTCTTTTACAATTTGGTGTGAATGGCCACAGTTTCTGTTGTGTTTCCTCCCAATGCTATGAGCCTTTTGTGGTATATTGTTAAAAAGGGTGGCTTAGGCTGGAGATCTTTTATTGTTCATGGTATCATAGTATCTTTTACCGAATGTGTACTTTGAGTGAAGACTGAAGAGTCGAGTGTCTTATGACCCTAACCGGCAAATCAACTTTGTGTACTTTGGATGAAAACTGAAGAGTCGAGTGTCTTTGTAATCTTAACAGGCAAATTAACCTTGGCTAGTTCAAACGAGAAAGTCAATGGCAGTTCTCGGTTAGCTAGCAAAAGATCACAAAAGGTAAACCAACCTAAATTGTAGGCCACTTTCACGGGAAGGGGAAGCATACAACTAATTTTGAGTAGCATAGTAAAGGTGTGTAATTGAACCTAAACCAAACTAAAGTAGTTCTCAAAGACAAGGGAATCAGAACTCTCTAGTCATTGGTGGAAACATTATCCTCCTTGTAAAATATCCACTGGCAAAACCATATCCTTTAGTAGACTCTCCATGCTGAAGCCCATACCAATGAGAAGAGGGTTGCCTAGGTTGTCGAGCCAGAATATCCCAACATGGCCCCACTCAACTACAAAGATAAAAAGAAAAAGGCACAAAAATATCATAGGAAATCCATGGTTGTACCCTGATTGGTGGCTTAGAATTGATGTGGCAGATCCTTCCACCAAAAATTATCTTATCCACACTTTCATACCCAAATTCACAGTCCCATCTTTTGTCTTCTCCCACTGTCACCATCCCCCATTGTGTTGTATATATACCTCTATTTCTCAATTTGTGGCCAAGAAACCACTCAAGACTCCATTTTTCCTCACCAAAATATCATAGCATATCTCCCATGGCCCTCCAGGCTGCTGCCCTTCTCCCTGCTTTGTCCATTCCCAAAGAGGTCTGTGTTTCAATTCTGTAGGACAAATTAGTACAGTGTAGTAAGTACATAGATTAAGTATGAAAGCTGAGTTTTTTACTGTGTTCTTGCAGGGGAAAACCAGTGCAACTCTCAAGGATTCAAGCTTGTTTGGAGTCTCTCTGTTGGACCACTCTAAACCTGATTTCAGCTCCTCTGCTCTTAAAATCAAGGTACATTGTCATTAGGGAAAATTGTATGATCATATCATCTAAGTTATTTGCAAATTGGCAATTTTTCCTTGTCATTATATTGATTATTATTGGTACAATCTTGAGAGAATTTGTGGGGTTTTTGCAGGGGGCAAGAAAGGTATCCAATGGGGTTGTGAAAGCTGAGACAATGGTGGCAACTCCGGGTGTCACCGGAGCCCAAGTTTCCGGCAAGAAAACGCTGAGAAAGGGCACTGTTGTGGTCACCGGCGCATCTTCCGGGTTAGGGCTGGCGACGGCGAAAGCGCTGGCGGAGACCGGAAAATGGCACGTGATTATGGCCTGCCGGGACTTCTTGAAGGCGGAGAGAGCGGCAAAATCAGTGGGCATGCGCAAGGAGGATTTCACCATAATGCATTTGGACCTTGCTTCCCTCGACAGCGTCCGGCAATTCGTCGACAACTTCCGGCGCTCCGGCCGCCCCCTTGATGTTCTGGTCTGCAATGCCGCTGTCTACTTGCCCACTGCTAAAGAACCCACTTTTACAGCTGAAGGGTTTGAGTTGAGTGTGGGCACTAACCATCTTGGCCACTTTTTGCTTTCAAGATTGCTTCTTGATGATCTGAAACAATCTGATTACCCTTCCAAGAGACTCATCATTGTTGGCTCAATCACAGGTACCCATAACTCTCTTAAATTTATATATCATTTTAGCAGCACTTGGTAAGTTGGTATACTAATGGTCAATGTTGTAAAAATCTCATCTAGTCACCGATTAATCAGCGCCTAGGCACTAGGTGCTGATCGGCAACCTAGCGTAGCACAATAATAGATGGTCTAGGCGACTGGTAGGCTAGGCTTAATGATGGGCTACGCGGCTGGCCAGCTAGGCTTATTAAGTGTTTCCTAGGCTGCCTAGGCAATAATCGCGTAGGCCTCTTAGGTGTCGATTAGGCACCAACTAGGCCGCCTGGCACCTAAGTTGCCTAGTTATTCGATTAGCTATTGTTGACTTCTTTTTTTGAATATGTTATTTCAAATGACATCGTTTTTAGCAAAATAATTATAAATTGTTCAAATTCCAGATGTTTTTAGGTTAATATTTTAATATTAATTATTAAAATATTAATAAATAATTTATAATTATCACATTTTAAAATTAAAAATTTTTAAAAAATAAAAAATACACGGGACTCCTAAGCTGATTAATTGCTAGCTATTTTTTCAATCATGCTAATTGTTAAAAGATGTATTGATATAATGGCAGGGAATACAAATACGTTGGCCGGAAATGTACCACCGAAGGCACACCTGGGGGACATGAGGGGTCTAGCCGGAGGACTGAGCGGGCACCACAGCTCGGCCATGATCGACGGCGGGGCGTTCGACGGCGCGAAGGCGTACAAGGACAGCAAGGTGTGCAACATGCTGACAATGCAAGAATTCCACCGGCGTTTCCACGAGGACACCGGCATCACCTTCGCCTCCCTGTACCCGGGCTGCATCGCCACCACGGGGCTGTTCCGGGAGCACATCCCCTTGTTCCGCCTGCTCTTCCCGCCGTTCCAGAGGTTCATCACGAAAGGATTCGTGTCGGAGGACGAGGCCGGAAAGCGGCTGGCGCAGGTGGTCAGCGACCCCAGCTTGACCAAGTCCGGCGTCTACTGGAGCTGGAACAAAGACTCGGCTTCTTTCGAGAACCAGCTGTCTCAAGAAGCCAGTGATGCCGACAAGGCTCGCAAGGTGTGGGACCTCAGCGAGAAACTCGTCGGCTTGGCTTAAGCGGCTCATTCCATTTCCCCCCATTCCATTTTTTCCATATGAGTGAGATTGTAACATGCCATTGCCCACTAGCTTGTAAAATTGAAAATGACCCCCCAAAAAAAATCTTGTAGAATTCAAGAATTTGTCAATAAAATCACTTGTCATTCCTTCTTAAATAATTAATTCATATTTAGTTTTATTTTTAAATTTGTTAATTTCATTTGAATGGACATTATATACAACTCCAAAAGAAGCTAAAATGGATTGTGAAACCCAATTTAATTTTATTATTCTTCAAGTTTCTCATATTATCAATGTTAGTTTTAATGACTAATAAATAATCGGTTCGCATATCAACACGATCGTATATTCAACAGAAAACTCGAAGAACAATGTATAAATATCTTATTGCTGGAATTGAACTCATAATGATCGAATCCCTTATAAGATGCATCCAAAGGGTATTTATATATTTTCTTGGTTAATTAAATGACTGCAATAATTTCTCCTACTACGCCCCCTAATCATGCCTAATCTTTACATAACCGCTATAATCGTCACCTAACAAATGTTTGATTAAGTTATCTAATACTTCAAGGGAATATCATATGTATGTCACATCAGTCATTTTCTTTTTCTCGAGATTTTCTTAAGGGGCGGGGAGGGAGGGGGGTTGTTGTTATCAAATGTATAGGGTATTAAAGTAAATGATTATATGGTATGAAATATAACATTCAATAAAAGATATTAATAACATGTGCTCTCAATATTAGCCATACATACACATTTACAAGAATGTTCCCAAAGGATCTAAGTGTCTAACTACATGTTCAGAAAAAATATGACTTAGATTCGACAACGTCTTGTACCAAATTGGTCTTAGTCCAACCATTTGAAGGCTCATGGCCTAGGGTTGGCGCAAGCAAAACTTGACCCCAACATCCAATATTTTTTTTTAAATATTTGATATAATATTAAAAAATTATGTTTAAAGGTAAACTCAAACGCTTAGTTTTATTATTGATACACCCTCACACAAACCAAACAAGCTAGCTAATGAAACTTTAATTTTTGGGTTTGTTTTGTATTGACAATGCCAATTTTGATGAGGCATGAGCCTACACAAGGCCATGAGTGTCGATACCTCTACCCCAAAGAGTTCAATAACACATACTAAAGAGTTTAAATCACTTAAAATGTCATGAATAAAGTGCATATGATTATAGATGGTTTATAGTTCGAAGGCACCGGTGATTGTTCACAATTATATTCACATGTGGATATCGTTGTAATTCAAAGGCATCGATGGTTGGTAGATGCACTTGGCTAGGGTTTTTCTTAATTGATCGTGACATGGAATGTGCCCCTATCTAAAACAAACGGTTACACATTGCATGTGTTGGGCTTTTGGGATTGGACCGATATATTGGGCTTTTGGGATTGGACCGATATATTGGGCTTTTTTAATTTCTATCGTATTGAACTCATTTGACTATTCTAAGACTCCACATTCCATCACCATTCATTAATTATCAACTTATTATATATTTTTATCTGTTACATTATATTGCGTCACATTACACACACATGCTAGACACATGCATTTGTGTGCTGGGAGCAATATAAGTTGTTACGTTATATTGCAACACATTACATACACACGCTAGGCATGCGCATTCGTATGTTGCATAGCAATATAAGTCATTATTATCATTCCTCAATTTTTTTTTTCGTTATGTTATATTGCACCACGTGCACACACTAAGCACGTGCACCCATGTGGAGCACAACAATATACAACATTATTATTTTTCTAAATTCTCACCAAATGTTCAGATACGCCAATGCATCCAGAGTTTTATTATCTGATCTTCGATTCCTAATGATAAAATGAAATAAAATAAAATAAAATAATTATAAATAAATTGAATAAAAAGAAATTAAAATACAGTAATGCTGAAATTATTGGTCTATAAATACCAAAAGCCACCACTCAACAATGACTATAGATGGTTTCTACTTCGAAGGCACCAATGATTCTTCACAATTATATTCACATGTGGATATATATCTTTGTAATTCAAAGACATCGATGGTTGGTAGATGCACTTGGCTAGGGTTTTTTTCAATTGATCGTGAAATGGAATGTGCCTCTATCTAAAACACACGGTTACACATGTTTGGACTTTTGGGGTTGGATCGATCCCCTATTGGGCTTTTTAAATTTCTACCGGACTCCATATTTTATTACCATTCACCATTTATCAACTTATTATTTTTATCTGTTACATTATATTACGTCACGTTACACACACATGCTAGACACACGCATTCGTGTGCTGCTAGCATTGTAAGTCGTTACGTTATATTGCAACACGTTACAAACACACGCTAGGCATGCGCATTCTTGTGTTGCATAACAATATAAGTCATTATTATCATTCTTCGACTTATTATTTTTAGTTAGGGTATATTGCACCACGCATGCGCACACGCTATGCACGTGCATTCGTGTGGAGCACAACAATATACAACATTATTATTTTTCTAAATCCTCACCAAATGTTCGATATGTCAATGTATCCGGACATTTATTATCTGATCTTCGGTCCATAATGATAAAATGAAATAAAATAACATCTATATCTATATATCTATATATATAATAAAGCCACAACTTTTGGTAATTAAAAAAAAAATCAGTTTTCCGCCCAAGGAAAGAATCTTCTGAGAACTTTTTCATATATTTAATATTTTTTTTTTGAAAATATATATTTAATATTTAAGATATATTGGATTGGAAGTTAATATAGAGTAATGATCACATGTTATTTTCAAGGCGTGTCTTTTGAGTTTTTTCATTATAATCTTTACATTAAAGTAGATAGTGATTTTCAATGTGTCTTTTGAATTCTTCAAAATATTATTTTTATAGTGTTTGCAATGTAGATCGTGATATATATAGCAGCATGCAGTTCTGGATTGGTATTTTGTTAGAGCTGTCGATTGAGTCTTCGGGATCGGATTTTGCGGAGGGCTTGGATGCATGAATGGGTGCGTGGCGATCGCCTAAATCAAGGACGACGTAAGAGGGCAAAAGAATATGACGAAATGTTTGGGTTTGGTGAGCCCATCCAGCTTCTCGCTGCTGGAATCCAATAATGCCAACAAGCGTTAGAAGGACGACACAGTTCAGCAGTCGTTATATTATAGACTGCGGTGCATGTGCACCGCGGTCAAAACGACACCGTTTCTTGCCCGCCGTTAGAGTTAACGGAGTCCGCTTATTTGGTGTATTAAACACCAACTAACACTACAGTATATCCAAACCGACACTACAGTTATATCAAAATGATACTGTAGTTATAGTGAAATGAAACTGCAGTGTATATAAACTGAAACTGAATAACATTTCACATATTTGAGTGTATATTGTACAATGAAGCTGTAATTATATCAAAATGATCATGTAGTTGTGTTTTAATGAAACTATAGTGTATATAAAATAAAATTAAATAACATTTTCACATATTTGTGTCTATAAATATCGAATGAAACTATAGTTATATCGAAATGAAACTGTAGTTGTGTTCAACTGAAACTGCAGTGTATACAAAATGACACTGAATAACAGAGTTACTTTTTGCAAAAGAGTGCGAAACGACGGAAACAAACACTGTTAATTTTCATTTAAAAAAAAAGACGCGTGGTGCATAATCGATTATGCACCGCGGTGCATAATATAATTTGCCCACAGTTCAGATTCGTGAACATGATCTTTTGCCTAACGATAATGACGGAGAGAAAGATCAGAGAACAAAGACAAGCTGAGATGCTAGAACGAGGAGCAGGTGGAGACTGGCGAAGATGGGAGGTGCCCACGGATACAATGAGGATCGATGTTGAGGCCAATGAGAATGAGAATGAGAATGTGGAGAGGATCGGACTCCATAAATGTAGACATACATTATATTTATATTATTTTATATCATATGAAAATATGCACATTTTGTATTCCACTCCCTTGAGTGTAGTCTGTAACGGTTAATATATATTTAACTTTTCTACATTGTTGATTATAATTGTGTATGTAACACTTAAGTATAACATTGTAGGAAAAACTTCTAACACTAATTTTATCCTTGACAATTGTAATTAGGGATGGCAATGGGTCGGGGAGGGCTACATCCATCACCCGACCCACCTTATATTTTCTCCACCCACCCCCACCTCCAACCCGCATCGGGTGGACTTTTTCAGAACTCACCCCACCCCCACCGGGTGCGGGTGCCCACTACGGGTACCCACCACTTATCATCTTATTATGTTTTTCCAAAAATAATATTTAAATTATTTACACATAATAAAAAAAATAAAATTCATTAGTGGTACTAAAACATAAATAATGGAAATATTTAAATATAATAACTAAATTGTTAATTTTTAAAAATAAACTTAGTAGTTTTGATATAAAAAAATAGTAAAAAGATACACGAAGTTATATAAACTTTTATAAATAACTACATACTAGTATTTATTTTACTATTATATATATATACACACACATGGTGGGTCGGGTGGGGTTCTAGGCGGGTCTTGTATATAGAACCCGACCCACCGCGAGTTTGCTTTTTTAAGACCCACCCCCGACCCACCATCCACCATCACCCAAAAAAACCCGATCCATGCGGGGTGGATTCGGGTGGATATCTACGGGTCGGATTGAAATTGTCATCCCTAATTGTAATCGTACACCATTGATTGAGATGCCAATACACCTCTAATGGGTCATTATATACGTATTACAATGTTACAAATTAAAATGTATTAAATAATATGATATAGCCATAAAATATGGAGAAATTATCTTTTTTTATATAGTTTTGGTATATTTAAAATGGAATGTTAATGCAAAAGAAAAAAAAACGTTAGCATTATTATGTTTTCCTGTAGAGAATTTTAATTGTAGTAGTCGCGATACCTCAAAATCAGCTAAACGAAAAGGATTGAGCTACAAAACAATTCAATAATATTCTACAGGCATTATGTGAGAAATACGCCACATTAAGAGTCCTTACATGTTATCTGAACACAAATACTTGACTGCAATAACACTTTATTTTTATTAAAATTGTATTTACCCCGTGCATCGCATGGGACAATATCTAGTAATTATAAATATATTGAGTAAAAAATAAAATAAAATACAGTAATACTGGAATTATTGTTCTATAAATACCACTCAACAATGCTTTCAGAGGCGCAGAGAGCGTGGGACGCTGAATACTAAAGTCTACAGTTCGCAGAGGTGAAGGAGAAGAAAGGAAGCTTTGCTCGCTCAAGTATGAACATCTCTCTCTCTCTCTCTCTCTCTCTCTCTCTCTCTCTGGATTATCTTGCTTCAGTTTTACCGATCGATTCCTAAATCCTAACATTTCAGTTTTTTGTTTTTGCTTTTTGCTGAAAAAACGATCAACCAATCTCCGAGTGCCGATCACTGAGAAATCTAGGAAATCGCCTGTTAGCACCACATTTAATTCAAATGTTTGAGTTTGTTAATGTGCCGTGTTTCCTTATTCTGACGGGCGACAAATAAATTTGTTGTCTTTGTTAATCAAGCTTGAAAGTCCTAAAAGAGAATGCTGAATTTCACCTTAATGCTGTTGCTATGTTAAGTTTCAGTTTAGAGCAGTTGATCAAATATTTAACCGCATATGTTGCATGAATATCTCGTTTGTCATAGTTTTTGTTCTAGCCATAGTTTATTGGAAAAAGGAAGGAGATTTATATATTTCCGTTGTTTGGAGTTTAATTTTATGGTTATGATGTTTCCTCATATTCGTCTAATTTTCATGATTTCTTTCTTGAGAATTGATTAATTGCTATAATGGAACACTCCCTGACTTTGGAATTTGATCAATTTGAAAATGTGCTCATTGGAAATTGGTGCATTCCTAATTGCTGTTTACTTAAATATCACTCTTTGATTTTTTGAGAGAAAAAAAAAAGTTCTATTCTTTGTAAAAAACATTTCTTCCTTTTTTTTTTTTTGGACATGTGCCATGTTAAGAGAGCAGAATTAGATTCCACTAATACATCTAGACATGTAACATTGTCTTGGAAATGAGGCTTGAAGCAACTGGAAAATCTGAAATATTTATGGGATTCATAGTTCTTTACCATTTACTCAATTTCTCATTTTGTTTGTTGTGAAGGATGATGAAAATGGAAATGCTTCCTTCAAACTTTTCTTATGGTGATGAGGACCGTAAGAATCTTCAGCAGCTGCTTGAAGCATTTGGTTCTGTCGTTTCACTTGAAGATATTGCTTCAGCTTATTGTAAAGCAGGTCGCGATCCTTCTATTGCTGGTGACATAATCTGCAATCTGCAAGCTAGCACATCTACAACTTCAAGTTCTGAGAATACAGAGAAGAGTGACACACTTCACAATGATGTTGAGGAATTTCTGTTTAAAATGCTTGGAGATGGCTTTTCACTCAATATGAGTACAATCCACAATGTTGTTGGTAAGCTGTAGGGCAATAAATTTTTGTTCCACTAATACAATGCTCTTTCAACTTGTTCAGTGAGTTTCAAATGCATGTGATCATGGATAAATAGTGGAAACAGGTCCCAGGATCAGACAATACATCTTCATTGTGCTATCTGCAAATAATATGAGATATTTCCCATGTTTAATTACAATTCAAAAACTGTGAAGTTTCTTAATGTTATATGAAATCCTTGTATGATGATGGTTTCTTATCTTACAAGGAAAACATTTCAGTGTTTTTTCTTAAATTTTGAGTCATGTACTAAGCATGGTGTTGGACTGGCTTTATAGCATGATTACTATTAGTTCTTGTGATTTGCGATAACAAGAATTCACTTCCCACCTGCACAAATTTTGTACCCACCAGAAAATAGTATGGAGTATGTTTTAATATTAGGGTCTGTTTGGAAACCCGGAAAATGATTTCTGGAAATCATTTTCCGGGTTTCTGGTGTTTGGCTAGGTTGGAAAATGAGTGGTCAAAGGAAAATGAGGAGTGGTCAATGGAAAATGAGGCCAATTTTTCGGAAAATGACTTCCCCTTTTTTTGAGGGGAAGTCATTTTCCATCCTTCGGTTCATCACTGCTGGAGCTGAAGGTTCATCGCCACAACATCAACGACCGTCGCCGGATACTACATCAACACCAAAGACCATCACCGGCGACCATCACCACTGTTGGAGGTTCATCCCGCCGCCGCCGATCTACCTGTCACCACCGTCGATCTACCCGTCGCCGCTGTCGATCTGCACAACGCTGCTGAGGAAGACTGAGGAAGAAACCCCAGGTACGCCGTTGCTCTGCCCAGCCACCGCGTCCGGTCACCGCCACTGCTCTGCTCAGCCATTGCTTCCAGTCACCGCCTACCACCATCACTATTGGTTGAGAAAAAAGAAAGAGGTAGACGGAGGTTCAAGGGCCGAATCTGCTGTCCACCGCCACTGTCAAGGGTTGTTGCTTCAATTTCAATTTCAATTTCATCATTTCTATTGTTGTTGTCCACCACCGTCGTATGCTGTCCACCACCAATTTCACCATTTCTATTTTCAATTTCAATTTCACCATTTCGATTGTTGTTGTGATTGCTGTCCACCACCGCCGTTTGCTGTGTCCAACACCAATTTCACCATTTCTATTTTCAATTTCAATTTCACCATTTCTATTGTTGTTGTTGTCCACCACCATCATCTGCTATGTTTGTCTAAATACTAATTTCACAATTTCTAATTTTGTGCTTTGTTTATGTATAATGTTATGTTAAAAAATAATAATTTGTGATTTTTGTTTTTGGATTTTGTCATTTTCCTACTCATTTTCTAGAAAATGAACCAAACATACAAACACAATTTTCCGTTGTGTAGCCAAACACCGGAAATGAACATGTTTTCTGGAAAATGACTCATTTTCCAGAAGCCATTTTCCTGCTTTCCAAACGGACCCTTAGTCTATCATGGTAGAAACCTTACATTAACAGCCTCTAGACAAGATTGCCGTGCTAATCTGTTGGATCTTGCCCTATCAGTTAATCTTTTTAGTGCCAATTTAACATTATGATTCCAAAAGTTGTATTGCAAAACTTCCCTGTTGGGACTTCATTATATGATATATCAATTGCAATTTGTTTATTACTTTACCTTCTCTCACATGTGCTCTTCTATTTTATTAGAATAAGTGAATAACCTTGTCCTTTACGTATTGAGTCCTGCCCTAGATTTGCTGCTTTTGAAATCAGGGAATTTGTTGAATTTTGCAGGTCAATGTGGATTTGATGTGAACAAGGTAAGTGAAGATATCTAACAGCTATTTCAGTATTGTTAAAAACTAATATAGCAGCAAATAAGTACTTTGTTACTCTTATTAATGTAATCCTGGGATTCATTTAGTGGAACTTCATTTCTGGGTCACTAGTTATTTACTTATTGAAATTTTTAACAAGATTTATATAAAAAAAAAATAGTATCATTTTATTTAATAACAGGAAAACAGTGCATCAAGAAGACGTCTAAATATGCCTTCAAGACTAAGGAATGAAGATTTGATTTTGTCTTGTGGGTTCATGACTAATTCATTGTTTTGGTGGAATTTACAGAGTATGGAGTCACTCATAGATTTGTCAGCAGCAACTTTGGAGAAGTCTGATGATATTGTCAGCATAGATTCTGAAGAAGTAGGTTTGACTTCTAGGGACATTTTACTTGTATTCCAGTACTTGTACTGACTTTAAAGAATGAACTTTAATCTTATTAAATTTATTTTGTTGAGGTGCCTAGCTGATAAGCTTATAAACTTCCACAGAAACTGAAATTTCCAATTGTGTTATAACTTGGGAAGGATTAGTTTCTACATTGCCTTTACTTAGTCTTCCCCTTTCCCTACATGGAGAAAAAGACCTTGTTTATATGTACATTTTCTGTGTGAGGCTAGCAAAATTTGAGTCTCAAAAGATTTCATTTTATTCTTGGCTATGCATTTCAATGCAGTAACTTGTATAGTCTTTAATGTTTACTTTCTTTGGTCTGATTGGGCAGTTTCCAAATCTGAAATCAAATTCATCTCGAGATTCTGCTGAAAGGTATGATGTTTCTCATGGCTGTACTGTTGCACAGAAGAATCTTTTTATTAACAGATTTCTTGAATATCAAATTTTTTTTAACAATGCATAGAAGGTCAAATATTTTCAAAATCATGGTTTTGGTTTTGCAGTTCCAAAAGGACCAAAACAAATAACACAGCTGCAGATGAACTTCAGTTACAAAAGATGAAAAGGAAAAATGAACTTCAAAAAGAAATTTTACAGTCATTGTTTTCTCACCCTGGAAGATATGATGATGAAGTAGTAGCTCGACCTTCAAAGGAATCTCGGAGAAGTAGATTTGTTGTTGATAAACCGCTAGAATTACCAGAGATAGAACATCGCACTGTCATTATAAGACCTCATGTTACCCAAATGAGTAAGCACTGTTGTCAAGCTATATGGATAACTTTTCTATTTTCAAAGTTAATTTGATTATTTATGACAATATGATCTAGAAACATGTATTATATTCTTAGAGAAATATTAGCTGAAAATAGGAATGCTTTGCACTGATCAATTAGTACAAATATAAGCTGGGATAAGGGTTAGATTATTAGCATGTTTGTGGGTAGATATCTGCAGTCAAGCTTAGTTGAGATGGCCTTCACAATCTCATAAAATGACAATGTCATGATTTGTGATTTGGCTTTGCAGTGAATACATTTATTATTTTCTTTGATATGCTTCTGTTGTTATTTTCTCTCATGTAAATCTTTTTGGTGTATTCTGTTCTTAGATGATGATGATGATGATGATAATGAGGAAAGTTATGAAGTTCTGCGAGAAGCAGTAAAGGAGCACTGGACTACAATGAAAGAGTACTATAAGGCTGTAAGTTGCAATAAGTTATGACAAACATAGACTCAATTTCAGTTCTTTCAGCATTTAGAATGATAACTTTCTATAGTATGGTATGAAGTGAAAAATTCAAATCTTGTTAGGCTATTGAGGCATTTGTTAAAGAAGACCGCGTAAGAGCATACAGGCTTCTAGAGGAGGTATAATTTCTGTTCATAAAAGTTTTCTGAACTCTATCATTTTCAGTTGTCAGATCTGAATATAACACCAAAGTAATTCAACTCCCTTTCTATTGAGATAAGTTTGAATAATAGGTGGGGTTGGATTTTTTATTTTTATTTTTATTTTTATTTGTTAAATTTGTTAATTTATTGATTTATGTTTGCAGAGTGTGGGATGGGGTGGGGGGCTTGGGTTGTCCTATGGGGTGACTCATCCTTCCGTATCTTGTGTTTGGAAAAGTAGTAATTGAATGGGGGTATCAAATAACCTATCTCAGTGTTATCAGATTTCAGATGCATTAAAATTAGATTGGATAAGAATTGGCATGAAAGATCTTAGCTGAAACTTTACTGGAGACTGCTACATATGTCATCTGAAGACAAGTTTTCTAGAGATTGGGCATCTTATTCTTTTAGTCCTATCAGCATAGTAAACATGTCTTCAATTTGTGGACTGAAAATACGAAACGACTGGCTATATTACTGAGTAGCTTACAATGGCTTTTGATGTAGTCTTTTACGAGATCTATTACTATTACTCTGTAGGAAAACGTTTCCACAATGTCTAGTCACTTTTTTGAATACAGGCAGCTCTCTTTGAAAAATTGAGTTGACCCTAGTACATTTAGTTTAAGCTGCCAGACATTAGTAGCTTCTTACTCATACTTCCTGTCTTGGTGATGTGATAGGGAAATTTTTTTATGAAGAAGGCTCGGGAAGCAGATGAAAAGTCTGCTCAAAAGCTTCTTCAACCCAGGTAGAATTAGATAAATGAACTCCATTGTTTGCTTCACTTGTTCTTGCCACTCACTTCTGCCTATCTTTTGACTCAAACCAACAACCTTGTGCCTTGGTTGCAGATATAAGTGTGAAGAGTTGTCCTTTGATGTGCACCATTTTGCGCCAAAAGATGCAATTGACTTTCTGAAAGGGCAGTTCAATACTTATGTGGGACTCCCACTTCCACGTAGGTGACCATATTTTGAATGTTATCATCTTATTTGGTTTTTGCTTAGAACTTTCTTTGGAATTCCAGAGCTCTAATTTCCATATGCAATAGCTTTCCAGTGCTTTCGTGTGATTGTTGGGGTCAATGATGATGATGCCACCAATGGACCTCGGAAGCGTTTGGTATGGCTCCTTTATTTTCCATCCATGTTGAACCTTTTATTTATTCAATTCCTTTTCCGCTATTTTCTGTACCCGGTCATTATTAAACTTCATTATCAAATATTTAGGATTATTATATTCTTTGAAGAACTGCATATTTTTCTTGATGATAACATCGCTTAATATATTTCCTGCTAAAGCATGGTGGTGTTAATTCATAAAATCAAATAGTTCAGAGATATGTATAAAGCTAAAAACTATAGATTTTACCCTTGAAGAAAATCATGTTAAAATGAAATAGGTGAAGATAGCAAACCTTTATACTACATCAATTACATTTTTCTTATCAGGGATGGAATTCAAACTTGGTCTGGTGCATAGACAAGGGTACATAAATTAGCTGAATTTAAGAATCATATCATTTCAGAACTAGTGTAAAATCCCAGAGCAATCATGTTATTTTCTGTTTGGTCTACTGCTACTACAGCATTTTACATTTACTTTGTCCAATCCAAATAAACTAGCGTGATACTAAGGCTCTAATGCACAGGTTGCAAAGTATTTCGATAAACGCTCAATACCATGGACAGAGGAAGAGAATGGAAAGGTTTTGGTGATCAAGGTGGAGGATATAGATCGCCAGAAACTGACTTCTTACAAAAGCGTACCCAGAAACTGAGTTTTTCCAAAAGCATTACCGGCAGCATGCCATAAGCTTCACCAACTTTGTTGTCCTGTATCCTAAACTAAAATTTGAACATTTTTGGATGGCTATCTGATTGAAAACTTTGGAATTCAAAATTCGGATATCCACTCCGGCCCCATGAGAACTGTAGTTTCTTTCTCTTTTTGCCTGTGCAATACAGCCATATGGCAGTATTGCCAGAGACCTTAAGTTATTTGTAATGGTGACATTTTGCCTTCCTTGGCCAAACTTGACTGCCAGTTTTCAATTTCATTTCTCTCTTTCTTTTCTTTTGTTTTGTTATTATTATATTTTTTGGTATAATGGAACAAGATTGGCTAATTTCATGGATGTGATGGGAAGATCTTGACTTTTTTGAGTGATGAAGAAACTCGCAATCACTATCTGAGGGTGTATATTGAATAAATTTCACCTTATGACCTTAACCGATAAAGAATCATAAGGAGGTAAACCAGCTTAGATTGTTCATATCTGACCGGTTCAAATCAAGAAGTATAATAAGCTGGAAGAAGATCTTGACTTGAAAGTTGAAACTATATACAGTTAGTATACGAGTCAAGAAGAAAGAAACAAGGGGCAGAAAGCAACCAACAAGGACCAAACCAGAGCTTATAAAAGGAGCACCAGCCAATTTCACCTACAAAGAAGTGTTACATTAAGCTAAGACAATGTTGGGGGATGATACTACACTACAATGGGGGTGTAGACTGTTTCAAAATGGTCATTGCGTGAGTCTCTGCATCTCATTTTGGCTGTCCAAAGTCTCCATCAAAAGCGGGGGCGCAAACTGGGCAGTCCCATGGTGCTCCTCCGAGTCTTGGCAAAACGAAAGGATTATAGTATCGATCGACATCTCAACCACCGAGAAGAAAAGGGTCGCCACAACATAGCCAATCCCCCAGCACACCTGTTAAACAACACATCGAGCCAAGTTTCTCGGTTTACATGCTCCGAACTTAGCTGACAGACCAATACAAAGAGATGAGCGTATGTATACATACCAGCACAGGAAATAGCGGGGACGAGATCTTGTGATTCGAGGACTTGTACTTGTGAGTATCCAGCATGAGAAAAGCAAACAAAGCACTCACAAGACTCACGAGTAGCTTCCCGAGAAAGAGAATAACATCGCCAATCACATTCACCTTTCCTATCCGAAGCACGTTACTTATAATGAGTTCTGTTGCAATTTCAGAAGCTTTGAAGAAACTCTTCCCTGTAATAGCTATCTGCAAAAAATCACAAGCACATGAAGGAATTATGGTATCAGGAAATAGGAGAGAATTATTATGGTATCAGGAAATGCAATTTACTGACCATTATATAAGCATTACGGTTCACAGATTTCATGATCCAGCTAACACCTCTCAAGCAACCCTGAGAAGTATGAAATGCCATCTTTCCCGGCCAGCTCTCCGGTGTAGAATTAGAAGTTTTAAGCCTGCGGCGAATTGCTCCAAGTATGAAACGGATAGGCTCGATAAACGAAACCAACACAGAACCAAGAGCAACAGAACCCAGGCTATAACGCATAAGACGCTTCATTGACGAGACAACCGGGAGAAACGGAATCTCCAGCTGCATTGCAAAAGTCACGAGTAAGCCAAACAACAAGAGAGACAGGCCGAGATGTGTAATCGCAGAGGAAAGCAAATCTTAAAAAACGCAAATCTTGATGACTCACCGATTTTTCGCCTCGAGCCCAATAATATGAAGCAACGGAGCCCGCAATGATAGTTGAGGAGCATGCCACGAAAAATTGAGTAGCCCAATAGCAGCCAAATAGGTGGAAAATAATCGCAGCAGCAATATGTGGCGTATATTGGATGCTGTAGCCGCAGCAACGATCACAAGTCACCCTTTTCACTTTAAGATCATACGAACAGCAGTTGTTGCTGCAGTCGTTCTGGACAACCCGCCCAGAACTGAAAAGATTCAAAGCCGCTGAAAACCAGAACATGTAAAAGATGGCGAGAATAGCGTATGGAACAATGGGGAAAATAATTAGCGCCTGTACTTCTCCAATGACTTTAGCAGCAACCTGTAAAACAAGTCTAGAAACATTACACTGAGATACGGGAACCCTAATTGTCACAAAAAGAGAAGACGACCTTATGATAGACCGACCACTATTAGACCTTTGAGATGGCATTTGTAAAACGAAAGGGTGTTTTAGACAACCATAACTCATAAATAACATAGCTCGATGGTCCTAAACGACTTTTTGTACTTAATTTGATCCTCAACTTCAATGGTTTTACCCAATTGAGTTCTTGACCATTAGAATCAATGACTAAATCGAGAAAAATCACTATAGTCGATGACTAAATTGGGTGAAACTACTATAGTAGAAGACTAACTTGGGTAAAACTACTATAGTCGAGGACTAAATTCGGTATTAATAGAGATGAAATTACCAATCTATCTTAACAAAAGACTCAATTGAGTAAAACCATCAAAGTCGAAGACCTAATTAAGCACAAAAAGTTGTTTAGGACTAAATCGAGAAAAATCACTATAGTCGATGACTAAATTGGATAGTAACAAAGGTACTGAACTTGCCTTGAGAACAGATGTTGCCATGAGGATGCGTCGGACTATAGCTATAGACGATAACACAGCAATGATCATAACAGCCGTCATAATAACAGCAGCAACATGGAGATGAGTTAGCTCCTACACAGTAGACCGTTTGAATAAATAGCGGAACAATAATGAAAAAACAACAATAGAGAATCCAATAAACCTTTAGCATACCCTTGCAGATACACGATAATACGGGTCCGACTCGCCAATGATCGGAGAGATAGCATCGTTTCCAATCCATCCAGCTAGAAACAAAAGAACAACGAATAAGCACGATTACTATACTCCATTAAAGTATTTATTCGGGCAAACACAACAAATACGAGCAAGAAGAAACAAAGTATCTATTACGGAGTACTAATAAAGACATCTCTCCTAACCTTTTAAATAGTAGAACATCGTTACTGATATAATGACAATATTAAATAGGACAACAGTTATCCATGGCATCGCAGCAACAAAGTGTCGAATCAACAAAAGCCAGATAACAGACAGGAACACCGGCAAAATTCCTCCACAAACAATCAAGATGGGCCACGATTTTCCAACATCAGCAACGTATCGCTGCAAAGAGAAGCGAAATAAGAAAAAGCGGATCTTGTCTTACGTAACACGATGCAAAAAGACGCATACTCGGGCAAATGTAATTAATGATCAATACCTTAAAGACTGATGATCGGGAGTTGATGGACCTATGAATTGCTTTATCTATTATAATATCCTCAAAAATTTCAATCCCACCCATCTCCTTCCAATGCCGCAAAGACACATTTGATGCCCGAGCAATAAATTGGCAGCTCCAATAAACTGGAAATATAAACAAATATATTACACACACAGTATATGTTCATACATACTTTCTCAACCTACTGAAGCACAAAGAGGAGTTCGAACCTATGACCTCACATTTGAAAGAGTCACAGTTATGCTGTTCGACCACAAGGTCTTTGGCAGAAAGTACAAACCTTGAATATCAAGTAAATACTAACAAAACCGTAGATTGGAAAGACTAAGAAAGAGAACTCTCGATGGTCATTACACACTATATTTCACACTTAAGGACCAAGTTAATAACTTACCATTAACGCTAGGAAATATGACAGGGTAACAAGGACCCTGAAGCTGAAGGGACGCGTTCCTTAATTCAGGAGTAAGGTCAGCAAAATAATCATAGTTTCTATCAATCCAGTCATCAACTGCAAGACGAATGTCACCCTCGGGATAGTCACAAACCCAATTTAGTGAATCTTCTGACGGGATAGGGCAGTCCATCAAGCAAATACTTCGGGCATTAGCAAGCTTGACATCACTGTCCTTCGAGCCACTTTGATAAACTTCGTTGGGATTTAACCAATATCTGAGGTCCAACTCGTGAAGGTTCGGGTCTGCATGTCTGTCACCACAAACGTTGCCTTTATAGTCCAGTCCATAAGTCAACCTGCAAAATGGTATGAACCAAAAGAAAGGTATAAGAGTTATGGTCCAAAATAGCAAGTGAAAGAGGTCTCTCTCACTTAATCAGATCAATCCCAAAGAAGGGGTCTATCATCTATGGACTAAAGTCATGGTTGAAATGATAGTATTTCAATCCATATAACAACATAAAATCCCACATTTATACCTACTATTTTTCCCTATATGCATCTTACGATTTAATATACATATACTCTTTGGACTTTTCTAGACACCAACAGTCCAAAATCCCCAAAGTGGAAAACATTAAAAGACATCTAGAGAAGAAGAAAATGACTGAAAACTCAGGTGATATTGTGATACTCCTAATTCACAACTCAAAAGTTTCAAGAAATAGAAAAATGAGTTAATTATTGCTACTCCCTTGACATAAGGGGACCTCACAAGACAACAAACATTCTTGAATTATATTTTATCAAACAGATACCCAATGCCCACCATTTGCAAACTACCTTCATAGAACCAAATGAAAAGTTCATCAAAAATCATAGGAAGACACATAAACCCCAAATCACACTTACAAAGATTACAACTTTCTTACAAGAAAGACTAATCCAATAGCAGATCAAGATTAAAGGGCAAACAAAATCAGGTTCAATTTCATCTAGGTATGAACAAAATACATAAACAAAAAAGAAAAAGCAAGCAGCTTTTTGGGTGCTGTACCTTAATGGGTTTCCTTGGTTGAATCCAAAGCTGGAATTTACTATCATAGCCACCCAGAAAGCAATGAAGATGAGCAGAAACACCACATCTCTGCATTTCCTGTTGTGCTTTATAATCCCATCACCACTACTCACTTCCCCATTCCCATCACTTGAAGGGTACTTCCCAATCACAGCTCCCAATGGCCCTCTCATTATATTCCCTTATGTATTGATCTATATCTATACACACACACAAACAAACAAACACTCCCTCCTGTAAGCGTAGAACAAAAGAAAAAAAGGGTAGTGAAATGGGTCTCAGTCTCTCAGATACAAAATATGGAGAAAGAGAGAGGGGGACTGGAGAGTACACTGGATTGTGGACTTTGAGCAGTGAAAAGAGGAAAAAAGAGTGTGAAAGGGGACCAAGGACTAAACAGGGGTTTATGGGAATAATCCTTTGATTAAATGCACATAGGAATTGTAAACTTGCTAAAGCTACTTTAGTGTGAAGACAAAGATCTTTATTAGATTTTATTTTTATTTTTAATAATATTATTTTGAAGCGGCGTAATGACGAGTGATGGCCATTGATGGGCGAGGACCAGTGGACTGTTGTCTGGCCGGTGACTCTTCTTGTCTTTTCCATGGGAATTTCCTTAACCGCCATTAAAATGAAAAAGAAGATCATTAAGAAAATGACACCGCTCTCTTCTTCACATTCATAATTAATACACCAAATTGTTGGCTTGTTGCCCCGTGGTTACTAATAAGCTATTGGTTAGTTTTTTTTTTTTTTTTTGAATGCAGCTATTGGTTAGTTCAATTAAGAGATCAAGTGTTAATTCCACTCACGCTAATCAAATTAGTTATTAGTAAGTTTTTTTTTTTTTTATGCACACTATTAAATAATGAAGTCAATTATTATCAAAAATTAGGTACATAAAACATTACAGGTCATGAGATCGAACTTTAATAGAGGCGTTGTTGACTCTTTGTGCTTCATTAAGTTGATAAAGTATGTTTGAACAGATACTACAATGTAATAGAATCAGTGGCATTAAAAAAAAATACACTACAGGTGGTGCCAATGACATTGTGGTATAGCGGTATCAAGTTGCTATCTCGTATAGGAGGTTGTAAGTTTGAACCTTAGTAGATGCGATATTTATTCGAGTGGAACCATCATGACATAGGCACTAAATGCTAATAAAGAGCGTGAATTACTCCATTGATCTTAATAATTTCTTATCGAATTAGATTATGATATAATTGTTTATACCGTAACCGTTATGGGATGCAAGGCGTAATCATCAAGTTTGAAATTTACATATGATGGCTCGTCTATTGCATTCTTATCGAATTAGATTATTATGGGATGCAAGGCGTAATCATCAAGTTTGAAATTTACATATGATGGCTCGTCTATTGCATTCTTATCGAATTAGATTATGATATAATTGTTTATACCGTAACCGTTATGGGATGCAAGGCGTAATCATCAAATTTGAAATTTACATATGATGGCTCGTCTAGTGCATTGTAACGACAACATTTTTTTCCCGTAACGACAACTCTTCATTTGAGCATTAAATGCAATTAAAAATGCATGCATAACACCTCGTCTCCTATGCTGTAATTATAAACTTGATTTTTTTCAAGTTGAATTATTTCACTAATCGTGATAATTTCTTATTAGATTGAATTAAAACCATAACCAATATTCAATCATATATATTATTTAAGTAAATTTACATACTTAGATATAAATTATTATTATTTTTTTGAATGTTAGATATAAAATTTAAAATCTATCAAACATGCAAAATTTGAATTTTAGACCTACCATTGTTACTCCCTAAACAATAATAAATCGAATTAATAAAAACAAATAATCTTAATATATTTAACAAACCAGAAAATGAAGTTGATTTTTGAGCAACTTGGGTCCCACACACATGACATGCCACACTAATGCCAGCCTGTCACACCCATGTAACCAACAAGGAATGTATTAAAATGTATGATAATTTGTAAGGATACATGCCTCAAATTTATTAATATTTTTTCATACTACTAAATGCCCGATTTATCAAGACTATATAGTTTAATAGTACTCGGGTTATACTTCCATTTGAAATGTTATGTATAATTAAACAATTCAACTAACTGTTTTAATGTACTGAAACTCTAAAATTGGTTAATGACCTACAATAGTATATCATTTAGATTCCGGCCGACAGCTTCATCAGAGCATAAGGCAATCACATATGGGTCGCCTCTCGTCGGAGAAGATGACCAAAGACGCTTTTCCCCCAGAGAAGGTGACCACTGTAGCTGCCTTTTTCACTTGAGAGGGCGACCAATGGCCACATTCTTTAAAAAATGGTCACCGATCGTCATTTTTTCTTTGATTATTATCATCAATGGCAGTCCACGACAGTCAATGAATAATAATGACATTCAATGATGGCTTATTTGATCCTATTTATTAAGTTGAATTGTTTAATTGTACTTTTTAAATGTTTAGAGAATTAATTGCACTTTTGTGTAAAGTTATAGTTTTTTTTTTTTTTTTTTTTGGAAGGGAAAATATAGCTTTTATTAAAACAAATGTTCAATACAACTCGGAATAGCAAACAACCAAACAGCTAGACCAGTTTGAGAACGAGTTGTCCTTGCTAACACATGAGCCGCTTTGTTCACTGATCGTGGAGAATACTTAAATGACACTACCTCAAAGTGCCTTCGATCATTCCTGCAATCAGCAATCACACAATCTGCATAAGATAAATCCAACGAGCTTCAATTGATAAGGTTGCACACTATTTGATAAGTTATAAGGCTTATTTAATACTTTTTTTTTTCAAGTTGAATTGATATTCTATTTTATTTGAATTAATGAAATCTATTTTTTTTTTGTAACAATAATTTGTAAGTTTTTATTTAATATAGTGTTTTCAATTTTCATGTTGCTCTAAATATATAATTTTTTAAAAAATTATACCATATCAATTGCACATGATAAATGTTCATACTCAAAAATATCCTAAGGTGAATTATAAAAGCATTAAGTTGTATTGATTATCGAATAAAACTCAATACAAACTTAAAGTTTTGCACCAAGTACAAAGAAGTTATAATGTTGATTTCATAAATAAATAATAAATAATCTCAATAAATTATTAATTGAACTCGACACATAAAATAAAACGAGAAAAATACTACAAACACTATTAGCGGGTTTGGGCGGGTGGGGCTACCCACACCCGGCAACCCGATACAGTGTACTGCAGGGAGGGGAGTGAAAGATAATTAGATAAACAGCGGCTGGGTGTAGGATAGCCTTAGCATACAAACCTGGCTCAACAGACGGAGCCCCGACACGGCCCCGAAAACCCAAAAACATCGAACACCGCAATAGGCCATACGAATCTCATGAATCAGTGATTAATGATTGCGCACTAATCATCGTTTCTGCATCTCCGTTCTCTGCTGAAATCTTTGATGTTCTACTGTAACGCTTTGAAGATTTGCACATTCTAGAACATTTCAGAGAGAGAGTGCAGAGAGGTGGAGGGGAGAAAATGCCGAGCGTCGGTGTGAAACTGTACAGTGTTTTCTTCAAATTTATGTTGAAGCATCGGTTACAGAATCGAATCCAGAACCATGTTGTAGATGGACCTAACGGCAGCACCACCGCCACCGCCACGTTTGGAGTCACTTCGCGGCCGGAGGAAGAGTCCATCGTCGCCGCTAATCCCGTCTTTACCGACGGAGTAGCCACCAAGGATATACACATTGATCCGTTAACTTCTCTGTCCATTCGAGTCTTCCTTCCCCAAACCTGCCTCGATTCCCCCGATGCCGACTCCAGGCTTCAAGCTTCGTCTAAGGTTAGGGCTACTAATAGTAAGTCTGATTCGGCTCCCGGATCTGATCCGAATCAGGTACTTCTTCGCCGGACCAGCTATGGTTCTTCCGCCTCTATCAATGGAGCAATTTCTCCCTTGGAGAGTAATCAGAGTTTTAATTACAACAATCATCGGAGAAGTAGCTATGGATGCAGTGCAGATGATCTCAGTTTGAAATCTGACGGGGTTTATAGAGGATACTCACCTGCCACTAAAAAATCTCGGAAGTTGCCTGTCATGTTGCAGTTTCATGGCGGCGGTTTTGTAAGCGGGAGCAATGATTCGGTGGCCAATGATATCTTTTGTAGGAGGATTGCAAAGCTTTGTGATGTGATTGTGCTGGCAGTTGGATACCGGTTAGCTCCAGAGAATCAATATCCGGCTGCATTTGAAGACGGGTTGAAGGTGCTACATTGGCTAGCGAAGCAAGCTAATTTGGCTGAATGTAGTAAATCTTCATTGGGGAGCAAGCAAATTGCCGATGCCTTTGGAGCATCAATGGTGGAGCCTTGGGTGGCTGCTCATGGAGATCCATCAAGGTTAGCTTTCAAATCCTGTCAGCTCTTTGGTAGTACTTGCTTGCATTGAATGAAGCAGAGGCTCCTGGACTCTTGGTTCATATCTTAATCTATGCAACTGAAAATTAAGCTAAAAATTGGTCATGAGTGTAGTTTGGCTAGAATATGTCCATCTAACTATGCCCTTTCACACTAGTACACATTTGGAAAGGCATCTATTATTTCTATTTTGTTGGTTCATATCTTTAGTTTCTTAGCTGGGCAGAAAACTGTGCTGATTTGTTCATTAGATTCCTTATTTAAATCTAAACCTGCACGAATGGTGAAAGTCTAGTAATAAACGTTGGGACTTGGAACCCTTCTGCATCTGCTAGCTGAAGAACTATGACATTTCAGTCTGGAGGAAACTCATCCACTTCTAAAGCCTATGGTACTCTTGGGGTGAGAGAACTAAGGTTTACACCGGTTGAAATTCAGAAAATGAACATGCCATTTCATTTACAAAATTTGTCTACAATGTCTGCCTTAAGACTGGCAGAGTCACAGAGAATTACACATTTCAACAACATTCATGATATTGTTTAACTGCCAAGTGGAGCAAGAGCAGGTGTCTGTGTATGGTTTCAAGAGCTGTAGGTTGTTGAGCATTGAGCACTCAAGTATAAGACACATTGTACATTATAGAATTTGAGCTCCATTTTTCTTAATTTGGACAACAGTATCCCTTTGGTTTGATCTTTAGTCTTCAATCGTACGAAGGGGGAACAGAATATCAGGATACAAAGTTTCCCTTAGCGTGTGCTGAAATGGAGACCAGATCAGTAAAATAAATTAATAATTCACTCCAGCAGTCCAGCTAATGCAGATCAGTTATGCTAAATGATAGAATGCTCCAACACCTGCTTCTGTTCCTACAAAGTCTGTCTAGAAGTGTTGGCCTAGGAACACTCAGGCTTTGTCTTTAAGCCATATTGAGAATAATGAGCATAATTAAAGTAACAAATAACTCTCTACTTCTAATTTTCACAAAAGTGCTAGGCTTGATGAATGAGGGTATGCAATTGTACGTAGTATTTAAGAAATGAACAATGTGAAGTATGCCATTAATGAAGAAACCAAATCCAGTTGAGTCTTACTAATTCTACATTATCTCGGCAGGGAAAAAAGATCTGCAACAATTTACATTCACTAGAATTGTTATCTGGTAGAATACTAGAATATTAACTCCATGTGACTAGAAGTATATTCTTTAAGAGATTTGCATTGTATTTGCTTGTTGCGTGCTTCAGTTATGTTAGGTCCCTCTCTATAAAACAGCTAGAGGTTGTCTTCATAGTGTCTATGTGTATGCATTATAAACAATACTTTGTTTGATGTGTTATGCAGATGTGTCCTCCTTGGAGTAAGCTGTGGGGGAAATATTGCTGATTATGTTGCTCGGAAAGCCATAGAGGAAGGTAAGCGTTTGAACCCAGTCAAGGTGGTGGCACAAGTTTTGATGTACCCTTTCTTCATTGGAACTGTTCCAACACAGTCAGAGATCAAGCTTGCAAATTCCTACTTCTACGACAAGGCCACATGTATACTAGCATGGAAACTATTATTACCCGAGGATCAGTTCAATTTAGACCACCCTGTTGCCAATCCACTTGTCCCCGGAAGAGGGCCTCCATTAAAACGGATGCCTCCAACATTAACAATAGTAGCAGAGCATGACTGGATGCGAGACAGGGCCATTGCTTACTCAGAGGAGCTCAGGAAGGTAAATGTCGACGCCCCAGTGCTAGACTATAAGGATGCAGTTCACGAGTTTGCAACACTAGACATGCTTCTTAAGACCCCTCAAGCTCAAGCATGCGCTGAGGACATTGCCATTTGGGTTAAGAAGCACATCTCGCTTCGGGGTCATGAGTTCTCGTACTGAGTTCAATCGCCATATCTTCATAACGGCTTGTCACATTTTTTTCCGATGATTGAGGGGGGCGGTTTGTTTCTAAAAATGGGGTTTTTGTACCACATAGATCTCTAGCTGTTGGGCTATGTCCTTGTGTGTTCATGGTTCTGTTTCTTTCTTGTGTAAAATAGATGGCTTACTGGAGTGTAGAAATACGGAGTAGTAGTTTTGAACTGCAAATCCCATTTTAGGTATTTTGCTGTGTTTTTGCGCAATTCCCTTCATTTTATTTATTATTGATCATTGAATTGTACAATCATTGGTGAATATACTTACTCTTTTCCCTTTTCTTTTTTGAAAGCAACCAATGTGGTTATATTATATCAAAGCTGAAATAGAGTCAGGAGGGACAGTGTCCCAATACATAGCTGTAGTAAAATTAAAAGCAGTAGACGCTAGTAAAATTAAAAGCAGTAGACGCTAAAGTATGAGCTAAAAAATTATGAGTTCTGGGGACGAAATTAATAGAAAAAGCTTCAAAGTTTGATATGTAATTCCTGCAGGTGTCTAATGCGTAACCCACGTACGATCTGGATGAAGTAATTGACGCGGACAAGTGTCTCTGTAAAGCCTGGCAATCCGTATGTAGGTGAACCCGTTGTTCTCCACAGTCTTGTAACCATGACAGCGCCTCTTTGCATGCCATTGCTTCGGCCATAAGGGGGGAGAAACAAGCCGTTAGCGGAGCACATATAGCCGAAATATATTCGCCGCCGTTGGCACTTAGTAATACTGCTCCAAGCGTTGCCGAGTTGGTCAGATGGCGATACCCGGCATCCATATAGCAGTGAATGGGATCGGCAGCTGCCGCAAGTGGCGGGAGTCCTGCGGCAGTCGGGGACGGTGGTGGTTCGACCAAGCTGGTGTTGGCGTCAGCAGGCAGCGTAATGGGGGGCGGTGGTGTACTCGGCATATGCACTTGTCTCCATGCATGCATGGTGGCTGTTGCAGCGGCGGCCACTTTTTTGGATAACGGAAGACAAGCATCCCAAACCGCTCCATTCCGTGCTCTCCATAAATGGTATAAGATAGCTCTTGCGAACATGATCCCATTAGTGTCTAGAACATTCAATAATGCACTAAACCATTCATGAAAAATATTTGTTATAATATTGGGAATTGGAAGGTTAGATTGTGCCCAAATGGTCCTAGCATATCCACACGTCACCAAAGAGTGCATTACACTCTCATTATTAATACCACACATGGCACAAGTTGGATCAACATCCACTCTATTCAATAACAAATTATCCATTGTAGAGAGAATATCACTTATAACTCTCCATAAAAATATCTTCCATTTGGGTGGTATCTTCAGGTTCCATAACCTCAACCAATTATTAAATGTCCCATTATTAGTCATGCTGTAATTTCATTTACAAAGGAGAAAAGGAACTGAAAGCCCAATAAAAAGTAAGCCCAGGGCGGCAGGGCCCAAGCCCAATAAAATGTTAAAAGAATAAGATTAGGCATAAAAATTAAACAAAGTAGAAGATATCATTTATCCTATCACAAGAGAGCTTTTGGTTTACCAGTTGGTGTATCATAAGTAATTGAGGTCTTGCCACAATTAGTAATGACAAAAACTGTATCCATCTTCAGGGAAACTGTGTTGCAGTAAGTAACTTTTGAAATAGCTTTTGGTTTACCAGTTGGTGTATCATAAGTAATTGAGGTCTTGGCACAATTAGTAATGACAAAAACTGTATCCATCTTTCCTAGTTTGTTAGAGGCCTTAATTACTTTTTGTAACTGTATTTCATATAATGTTTTCTGTGCTTTCTGTTGTTATAGTGTACATTGGATCCACCTCTTGCCACTGTTGTTATTGGCGGTTGGTTGTTGATTTGCTTTTCTTTCACTTCTATTCTTTCGTAGAGGAATGTAATTTTATTTATTTAATTTTACTATATATATATATATATATATATATATATATATATATATATATGTTCTTTCTCAATTGTTATGATATTAAGTTTTGGGTTGCTGATTATCTGTTTTTTTTTCTTGCTTGCAGAGTTGCAGGGGTTCATGTCACATAGGATACCAAGTGCACATAGGATACAAAGTGTACATAGGATACATATACCCTTCCTAAGTATACATATATACGTAGTACATGACAATTTTGACAAGTGCCCTTCCATTTGGTTGTCCCAATTTTGAAAAATGGTCATGCAATATATAGTACTGATAACCTTGCAAATGTGCACCTAGATATAAATATAATGTTCACAATTTACCTATTAAGTGTTTACAACTTATCTTTTAAAAATTTACAATTTGTACATTTTTTATTTTTTTATTTTGTATTCATACGTTCCTTTCAAATACTATATTTACAAAATATTAACATACTAGGATATGATGATGATCATATATTGTATTGTATTTACAATTTCCTTCTATAGTTGTTATGGGTTTTGACTTTAAAAAACACAATTTATACGTGATTTAGGACCATGGCTCACCTTGCAAGGTGGACCCTGGTCTGTAGTATATCAACTTCAAATTTAGTATCGTTAATATATTGGATGAAATCGTGGTTTCATGTTTAAACTTTAGAATACATCTACTTTAGCTTTATTAAGTTAAGCTAGCTAGTGTCACAATATTAGTATTACCCAGAATCCCTTGAGGCCATACTTGATTAACCTTTATGTGTAATCTTAGTTAATTGGCCTAGAAAAAATGTTGTTAGAGAAACAAAAATTATTAAGTGTTTTTCTTTTTGTAGATTTTTAATCATAATAAAAACACTGTAAATTTTCTGAGAACAAGACAATTTTATATTGAATTAGGTTTCAAATTCTTAATTATTTAAGAAATATTTTAAATAATGCACTTATATCAAGAGGGGGGACTGGTATTTCACACTACCTCTTCTTTGCTGATGATCTAGGAAGACTCAGGCTTTTGTCTTTGAGCCATATTGAGAATAATGAGCATAATTAAAGTAACAAATAACTCTATACTTGTATATTAAAAAAAAAATATTAAAATGTCGTGAAATTAAAAATGAAATTTGAAGTAATGGATTGGATCATTCATTTACAAAGGAGAAAATGAACTCGAAAACCCAATAAAAAAGTAGGCCCAGGGCCAAATCCATGAGCAATATCAGTGACTCGGCAATGCGAGTCACCCACCGAGTCGACCAGGCAAGGGAATGAAAATGAAATTGATACACAGAACGATACAGACAGCAGCAGCGGGGTGTCCTCGCCTCACTAGATTCACTCTTCACGCTCCCAAGTCTGTATGTATGAATTCTCTTTCTTTTATGCCCACTTTTCTTCTTTCTATTATCATTTTTTCTCTTCTTTTCTCATTTTCAATGCTTATTTTACTCTGAAGTTTGTGGCTTTGCTAATTCCCTGAATATTTTGACCTAATCACATGAACTTTTGAGTATGAGAAGCCCATCAATTTTGGAATTTATATTTCTTGGACCTCTGATTATGTATATATTCACTATTTTTAGCAGCCTAATTTGCTCCATACCAATTCACATCAAGAAGACTAATAGGTCGTTTTGACCTAATCACATGAACTTTTGAGTATGAGAAGCCCATCAATTTTGGAATTTAAATTTCTTGGACCTCTGATTATGTATATATTCACTATTTTTAGCAGCCTAATTTGCTCCATACCAATTCAAATCATGAAGACTAATAGGTCGTTTTGGCCGAAAGCCGAATTTGTAATGCAATGGCTGCAATCCTGCAACTGATCAATGGGACTCTAAGTTTGTATGAAGGCTATATTTGTGTAAATGTGTAGTCTTGCCAGTTTGATATCTGCAGCTTGTGGTTTCTGCAGCTGGAATGGGTACTGTTTTGTGTTTCACTTGTCATTATCATTTCATGCTATTTAAGTATTTAATGAATTCGAAACAAAAAATTTACCGCGTTTATGAGTTGATTTGAAACTATATATTGATGTCGAATGCGTTGTATAATGGACGATGATGATGCTACTGGGAAATGATTAATTCCCCATAAGCTGTTCCTCGCTTGCTTCTCTTTTGTGGAGTTTGATTTTGTACTGGCATCTCTCTGGTGTTAAATTTTAGCTCATTTGTCACAGTAAATCGTGTCCCAGGTAGAGGTGGAATTCGACAATGGTAATTTATACAATTTGTCAGCTGAATATCTGAGAATTTATAGCCCAGCAGCTGATAGTAAGATTCGTACTGTTGGTGGTGAAAAGGTAATAAGTGGAACAGCCCTTCTTGTTCGGTGTTTTTGCAGTTTATTCTCGTTCTTTAGTAGTCTTTGGCTATTATATAAGTTTGTCTTAGTATGTATCTCCAAAATGAACGTTACACCAAATGTGATTCCTTGCCTTCTTGAAGTTCTTTGTTGTCTACTAAAAGTTTAAGGTGAACGCTAAACCAGGTGATATCTGGGAGGCGTTATGTTGGAATCATGTCTGCAGAGCCTATAGGGAACTATGGGGTAAGGTAAGGTAAATCGGCTGTAGATATGGGCGTTTTGAATGAAAGCGGGTTGGTTTAATGTGCTTATTATTATTGCGTCTGGCTGATATAATGCAGGTTGCTATTTGATGATTTGCACAAAACTGGTATCTTTACATGGGATTACTTCTACCATCTTGGGAGCAACAAGTTCTCCCTCATGAGAAATTACGTCGAAACTCTCAACAAGCATGGACTAAGCCGGGATCCACCCAGAAGAAAGTGACAACCTGATCTAAATATCCTCGACTTTCCCAAGCATCCTTGACGTGGAAAAGAACTTATGAATTCGCGATATTGAGTTGATGAGAGTGTAGAATCGCGTTTTGTTGTTTCTTTCTGCTTGCTTGTTGGGTTTTCTGAGGCAGTCAATCTGCACTTCTGCTTTCGAACTTTCAAACACTGTTATGACCTTTTGCCATTATTTTGCCTTCTTTATGAAATGGCACCTTGCTCTCAAGTCTCCAACTCTCCAATCACTCTTTGTTTTGAAGGTTTTAGTTGCTTCCATTCTTAAAACTGTTGAAAGCCCAGAGTTTCCAAAGGGTAATGTGGTATGAATTTGATATTCATGTACTGATAGGAAATATTCCCATAGTATACCTCTCTCTATGTACGGTACATCTGCTCGGTATTCGATTGAGTCGTCGATAAAGATTATTGTTGACCTTAATCGATCTTGAGCTCGATCTCATTTAAAATTTATTAAATATCATAATATAATATGAAAGTCCAATATTTATGCCTAAAACTAACAAAGAATTAGTGTGACAGTCCATTAATGTCAAACAACGTGGGATGGTTGGCATCTTGCGGTCTTGCCCACATTTCATCAACATATTACTGGATAATCAGTTTGACAAATCTTGCACATTGTCGTACATATTCGACTTTGTCAAATTATTATGGTAATTGCGGTGCAAATACGGAGTAATATTTAATATAATTGTTTGTACAATTGTTTTTTGGTATAACTCAAAGCTTTTATCATTAGACATGCTGACAAATACATCGCTGAATTGTAAACACATTTAAAAATATAACAGTTGGCCTGAAAAATATATATATGTTAACACTACTTGGTATAATATGATATTTTTATGTGAGTGTGCCTTCACACCAAGTATTTAATTTTTGATAAATGACATTTTTAGCATTTCAATTATAATAATTGATGTGTAAATTTATTCCTTCACTTATTTGAAGGTATTTATTATTAAAATGGTAGATTTTGTTACTCAAGTGATACCAAAATACTCATATTTTTTTGGTCTGATCACATTGTTTTATTGACCAGTCAACTAGAATCACTCATTGAAAGTAATCTTGTTTGTATTGAGTATAATCTTAAGGGTGACAACGCACTTATTCTCCAAGACCTCTATGAAAAATTCGTGATATATTGTCCACAGCTCTATAAAAAAATCCACTACCAATATTCTATATAATAAAATGGTTAATTTCGCTCCGAGAGATCAATTCCACTAGTTTGATAATAGTTAGAAAATTAAATTTATATTATAATAAACTGAATGACTAATTTTACATAATGATCATAATCGAGGGACTAAAAACATCAAATTTCATTTTTTTAAGACTTAGATTTATAACGCTAAGGTTGTTTCATGAAGACTAGTGGATACATGCTATGATATAATACTTAATACTGATTTTATTTTTTTTCTGAAAGATACTTAATACTGATTATAGTACAAGGACTTCATATTATATTTTATTTTGTTATCCATGAGAGCATGAACAACATGGTTGTGATGACGATGTATCATCTGAAAGTTTACAGATCATCAATGAATTTTTAATCATTATTTCCACTCGTTCAAGATCTGAGTTTACCAGGGAAAAAGAACTTGATTGAGAAAAAAAAAATAACACCAAAAAAAGGCATTGACTTTTTTGCACAAAATGCCAAAACCATGAAATTAAGATCGTTTGAGCAATACCCATTTCCATTTCTGGCGGTCTGATGGCGAGAATTGCCGCATTCTTGGTGGTTGTGGCGGTGGCGCTGATCAGTGGCGGGTGGGCGCAATCCCAGGAGGCGCCATGGAGGATCCACACGCTGTTCTCGGTGGAGTGCCAGAACTACTTCGATTGGCAGACGGTGGGGCTCATGCACAGCTTCAGGAAGGCGGGGCAGCCCGGCCCGATTACCCGACTCCTGAGCTGCACCGATGAGGAGAAGAAGAGTTATGGAGGCATGGACTTGGCTCCCACTCTTGAGGTCCCTTCCATGAGCAGACACCCCAAGACTGGTGATTGGTACACTACTTCCTTTATCCTTCTATCTTTCTGCATTTGCATTGCTTTCAAGCTTGAAATTCATTCATTCTTAGACACTCAAATTCAGTGTTCATACAGGCTTTCAACTTGCCCATCAAATATGTGTGTGTTCCCACTTAATCTTTGATGTCTTGTTTTGGTGTTCTTTGGGTGTTTGTTGGAGTATGCACTTTCTCTGTAAATTTTATTGCAGAATTAGCTAATTGTGTAAATCCCGCCATGTGATCCTATCCGGCAAAGGACCACTAGGTAAACCGGTTGCTAGGTTGGCCATAACTGACTGGTTCAAATCAAGAAGGCTAATAGTTCGCTCCAGTTGGAAGTTGAACTTGTAACCTTGTGGTTATCAAGTCAACAGGCAGACGAACTTGGCTGGGGTTGCCCCCGCTAATTGTGTTCTTTGTTTTAAAAAGACTTAGTCTTTTATGGGAAGTCAAACTGACAAACTTGTCACCATAAAGAACAATTTTTTTTTTTTTCTGATCTTATTAATATGAATTTCTTGTAATGCACATAAGGGAAGAGAGAATCAGAGAAGATAAATTTAGCTCTTTCTGTATCTTCAGGTATCCCGCAATTAACAAACCAGCTGGTGTTGTCCACTGGCTTAAGCACAGTAAAGAGGCAGAAAATGTTGATTGGGTTGTTATTCTAGATGCAGACATGATTATCCGAGGCCCAATCATACCATGGGAGCTTGGTGCTGAGAAAGGCAAGCCTGTTGCCGCATATTATGGGTAAGACCTGTTTGTTCCTATTCTTTTGTTGTTTATTTTGATTTTTGGTCAGTTGCTCTCTCTTTATCTTTATGGAAACTATTTCTCGTTCCACTTTCAGGTACTTGGTTGGATGCGACAATGTTCTTGCCAAACTGCACACGACACACCCTGAACTTTGTGACAAGGTTGGGGGGCTTCTGGCGATGCATATAGATGATCTTCGTGCTTTGGCACCCATGTGGCTTTCAAAAACCGAGGAAGTAAGGGAAGATAGAGCTCACTGGGCCACCAACTATACGGGTGATATATATAATTCGGGGTGGATAAGTGAAATGTATGGATATTCTTTTGGCGCTGCAGAAGTAAGTTGTTTCCTTTGTTTTTCTTTTTGGTTATTCCTGTTGTCTGTTTCATGTTTCATTTCTGTAGGCGGGAATTCTAATATCTACCCTTTTTTTTTTTTTTTTTTTTTTTTTTTTTTTTTTTTTGGGTCTCAGGTGGGACTCCGACACAAAATTAATGATAATCTTATGATTTACCCAGGCTATATTCCCCGAGAGGGTATTGAACCTATTCTTTTGCACTATGGCTTGCCTTTTAGTGTTGGAAATTGGAGTTTCAGTAAGCTTAAGCATCATGAAGACAACATTGTTTATGATTGTGGTCGCCTATTTCCGGAGCCTCCTTATCCCAGAGAGGTAAAATACTAAATGCTTCACCTAAGATAGTTAACTTCATAGACCAGTATAAGATAGTTAACATAACCATGAAAGTATATGTGCTCCTCGGAATTATTAGTCACTTCAAGGTTCTTCATTCTTGTATCGTAAGGATTAGCATGAGTTAATACCCAATTTAGTCCCTTGACGATAGTGATTTTTCTCGATTTAGTCCCAAACAACTTTTTGTGCTTAATTAAGTCCTCGACTTTGATGGTTTTCTCAATTGAGTCCTCTATTAAAATAACTTGGTAATTCCACCTCTATTGATACCCAATTTAGTCTTCACTTATAGTAGTTTTACCCAAGTTAGTCTCCGACTATAGTGGTTTTACCCAATTTAGTCATCGACTATACTGATTTTTCTTAATTTAGCCCTTGATTCTAACTACGAGGACTCAATTGGGTAAAACCATCAAAGTCGAGGACAACCGGGAGGGTGTGGTTGAGTGGAAGGGACTCATCCATCCTTAACCAAAGGTCAACGGTTCGATCATTGGCTTTGGGAATGGAGCAGCCTTAAATCTCCAGGCCAGCTGTCCCACCCAAAAGAGGTGCCTACAATTCAACGAGGGGATTAGTCACTGTGTCCGACGGTGGAAACCTTGGGTATACCCAAAAAATCAAAGTCGAGGACCTAATTAAGCACAAAAAGTTGTTTAGGACAAAATAAAGAAAAACCAACCACTATAGTCAAGGACTAAATTGGGTATTAACTCGGATTAGCATGGTTCCAGAATCCATTTTCTTGCATAATTTCCGTAAAAGCTAAAAAGACCTTTTGCCTTTCGCAGATAAAAGAAATGGAAGTTGAACCTATGAAAAGGAGAGCACTGTTTCTGAATTTAGAATGCATCAATACTCTGAATGAAGGTCTGTTATTGCAGCATGCTACTTTTGGATGTCCCAAACCAAAGTGGTCAAAGTATCTAAGCTTCTTAAAGAGCAAAACGTTTGCTGACCTTACTCAACCTAAGCTTCTGACTCCTAGAAGCCGACAAACAATGGAGCTTCACAATGAAGTTTCTCAAGCCACTAAGGAGCCAGAAAAGCCACATCCCAAAATTCACACCATTTTTTCTACCGAATGCTCAACTTATTTCGATTGGCAAACTGTTGGGCTCGTCCACAGTTTCTACCAGAGTGGTCAACCTGGAAATATCACGAGACTTCTAAGCTGTACAGAAGAGGACTTGAAGCAATATAAAGGCCATGATTTGGCTCCTACCCACTATGTTCCATCCATGAGTCGACATCCATTGACTGGAGATTGGTAATGCCCGATTCACTGCTCATACTTAGCCTATCAAAGATTATAATGATATAATCCAGAAAAAAAAAAAAAGTAGAATAGTTATCATGTCCTTGATTTTCTATTTTTTTTTTTAAATAATTATTTTTAAAAAATATTTTAAATTTGGAGTGACATGTTAGAAACCTTAAAAAGCCTGCAAATTGGACTAATTGTATGAAATTGGTTAGTTTAGGGATTCAATTGTAGTTTTTTTTTTTTTTTTTTTTTTTTTTTTTAGGTTCAGTTCGATGGCCTATTTGACCCTTATTATGCTTTTCTCTGATGTTCTAGGATGATTCACTTATTGATTTTCATCTTGCGGGCTCATGCCTGTAACATGTGAAGTTGAATTGAAGTGCTAGAAATAAATTTGACACTTTTGGTTTGTGGTGTCAGGTATCCTGCAATTAATAAACCAGCTGCAGTCCTTCATTGGCTTAATCATGTGAAGGTTGATGCCCAGTATATTGTTATCTTAGATGCCGATATGATCATGAGAGGACCAATAACACCGTGGGAGTTCAATGCATCCCGTGGCCGACCAGTTTCAACCCCATATGAGTAAGAAAACTAGAGTATTATTTTCCCTTTTAGTCAAGACCCGCTATTTTTTTAAAATAGAAAAAATCGTTTAGTTGCATTGCTTTCATAGTGTTGGATCTCAACACTGCACTATGCTTACTTCCCAGTAGGTCACCCATCATGTGACTGTTGTAAGTCAAACACGCTTAACCACTGTTGTAAGTCAAACATGCTTAACCACAGAGTTTTTTGGCTATCTGGTTGTCATATCCTACTTAACACTAATTGGTGATAAGTAGGTGGACATTAACCATTTAACCACATCCTTCCATGGTAAGCCACAACACCACGTCTCGAATCAAGCAGGGGCTGGACTCGGCCGACCTGGCCGACGCCCAACACATAGACAGTAATCGCTCTATTATTGAATCATTATTCTTCTTGCACTGGTTCAGCTACCTGATTGGCTGCGACAATGTGCTTGCGAAGCTCCATACTCGTCATCCTGAAGCTTGCAACAAGGTTGGCGGTGTGATCATAATGCACATTGATGATCTTCGGAGATTTGCAATGCTGTGGCTGCACAAAACTGAGGAAGTCCGAGCTGACAGATCTCATTGGTCCAAGGACATTACGGGAGATGTATATGAATCCGGATGGATCAGTGAGATGTATGGCTACTCCTTTGGTGCTGCTGAGGTACTTTTATTAACCTTTACTTGTGTTGTTACTTGTTAACATTTTAGCATCAATGTGTTATTTAGACTTTTTCAAGACATTTATGATGGCTCATTCGCTCGTGTTTCTTTTATAGTTGAATTTGAAGCACATCATAAGCAACGAGATTCTTATATACCCTGGATACGTTCCTGTGCCTGGTGTCAAGTATAGAGTATTCCATTATGGTTTGGAATTTAGGGTTGGAAACTGGAGCTTCGATAAAGCAAACTGGAGGCATGTCGACTTGGTTAACAAATGTTGGGCTAAGTTTCCCGACCCTCCTGATCCAAAAACTCTAGTTCAAACTGATAATGATGCATTACAACGTGACTTGCTTAGCATAGAATGTGGAAGTAAATTAAACGAAGCTCTACGCCTACACCACGAGAGAAGGAAATGCCCAGATCCCAATTCCTTGGCTTCAACTAAAGAGACCAGACGTCAGACCGTAAAACCTAATCAGACTAAACCAACTATTGAGAGTGCTACACCGAGGAAGTTTGGGAAAATCGATGAAAGTGTTGATGATATTCAAGTCATGAAGCATGATTCTGTTCCGAAAAACGATTCTCAAGAATCATTGCAGCCGCCTGAAGGGACAAATGGAACATTCAATTCTATGAGGTTTTGGATCATTGTGCTGTGGGCTGTTTCAATTCTCGCGTTTTTGGCAGTAATGTCAATGATGCTTTCACGTCGTAAGGGACTGAAAAGAAGAGGTAAAAGTCACAAGCCCAAGAGAAGAGCCTCACATTCGGGTTTCTGGGATGGGAATGGCAACGATAGGCATCTTCGAAGTACTGAAACTGCATAACCACCTTTGAGATATTAACGAGACAAAAAAATGCAGCATAGATTTATCTAACCCAGCAAAGCCCAAGTCGAAGTTCTTTGGAAATGTAAACACAACTCTTTTTAGCATTAAGATCAAGTCGGTCTTCCAGATTACGAGATTGGTTATTGTGAAGGGATGTAATTTTGGTATTCCATTGTCCTGGTAAAGAAAGATGTCAACTGAAACTGGAGGGTACATAAGCACAAGTGAAAACAAACCAAGCTTGACAGGCTGAACAATAATACTCAGATACCACTTTTCCAGTGTTTTTCTTCTGTTCCTTCAATTCTTCTAACATTTGTGTAGCATATTCTACAAACAAAAGAAAGAGAGAAACAAGAATTTCACAACTTTTTTGTATTATTTGTTGCCAAGTTTTGCAGTTTTAGTCTTTCTCTGGGATTATGTTTCCAATTCCTACTTTCTTTAGGGGGTTGAGTTAATGGAAAACATGTACTCCATGTGAATCAGTTCCTATTTTTATAGAATTTCAATCAATCATGAAGAAAAAAAATGCTATTTCTCTTCCTGAATTTATCTCTTAATATTCATTTCTTCGTGATTTCTAGAATTCTTTATGGACTTCTTGTATATTCGTGAGAAGCTTATGATATTCTCACCTTCAAAAGGCAAAATCCTTTATCCCCAGGGCTCGTGAAGGTGAAATCCTTCGCCCCAGAGCTCGTGAAGGTGAAATCCTCACCTCCACTCTCCAGGGCTCTCACACCCTGGTCCGATAGGTTGATGTCATCAACCTATAGACTATCCTAATCCAAAAAAACATACATTTCCAAGAATGCAAACAAACTTTGAATTCAATCCCAAAGCACTGCTGATTAATGTACACATTAACAGACCACAAATGCATACATATACAAAAATGAATCTCTGCAGAATGCAAATCAGCTTGTATTAAGGAGGATAATGAACTAATAAAACAGTTTACAAGGAAGAAGACAACCTACAAAAGTGAATTGAGGAAAATTGAAAAACCAAGGACCTTTGATCTAAAGGTCAAGTACATTGTTTGTACGGAAAATTTGCACATTAAAATGGCAAGCACACATTATTTCTATCCAATGGAACCTCCTTCGAATGGTAAACATCATCGCACACTCATACGAACCGCCTGTTAACCTCTAGTGCCTTGATGTTCTGGATTTGCTTCCCGGGATTCAATCCCTTTGGGCAAGCTTTGGCGCAGTTCAAGATTGTATGGCAGCGATAAAGTTTGAACTCGTGATCAACTGCCTCCAGACGCTCCTTGGTGTATTCATCACGGCTGTCCATTATCCATCTGCATTTCACAAATATATAAACACAATTATGTCAAATGCATTGCCTTTAACATCGTCACTAGACTACTATATCCATTTTTAGACCGAGATATACACACACAACTCTAAAAGGTTCACAAATATACATACAGAACTATGCCAAATGCATTGCCAACATTATCAATAGACTGCTATATCCATTTGTAGACTGAGATATACACTAATACACACACATTTCTTGCAAACAAACTCCAAAAAGTTCACAATATACATACAGAACGATGTCAAATGCATTGCCAACACTGTCCATAGACTACTATATCCAGTTTTAGACTGAGATATACACTAATGCACACACATTTCTTGCAAAAAGAACTCCAAATGCTTCATAAATATACATACAGAACTATGTCAAAGTGTCAAATGCATTGCCAACATTGTCAATAGACTACTATATCCATTTCTAGACTGAGATATACACAAATACACACATTTCTTGCAAACACACACACACATATATACATATATATACACGGAAAATTATGTCAAACGCGTTGCCTTTTAACATTGCCAACAGAGACTACTCTATCAAGTAACCCCAGCCAAGTTGGTTGTACCGTTCGCTTGGTAACCACAAATTCCAAGTTCATCGCAGCTCTCTATTGACCTTTTTGATTTGAGTCTATCAGCTATGGGTAACTAGACTAGTTTAACTTGTGATCTTGTGATCCTTTGTCGGCTAAGGTCAAAATGCGGGCTTTCTCCGTAAATGAAAGAGACTATTGTATCCATTTTTGAAACTGACACACACACACACATTTCTTGCAAATGCAAGTCCAAATACTTCACATAACAATGCATTCCTGACCAAATGTTTACAGAAAGAAAGAAACTTGGTGCAAATGCAAGTCCAAAATAAATGCATTCCTGAAGAGATGTTTATAAAAAGAAATAAAGATGTCAATTTCATTGAATAATAGAGAAATAAAATGGATTACCGGTTGGCATGGAGGAGAGCGGCGGGGCCAAGATAAGACTCAGGGTTCCACCAGTAACTAGGGCAGGATGTGCTACAACAGGCGCAGAGAATGCACTCGTACATGCCGTCGAGCTTAGATCTATCGGCTTTGCTCTGGAGGACCTCCTTGCCGGGGATCGGCGGCGGGTTCTTTCGCTTCAGCCATGGCTCTATGGACTTGTACTGGTTGTAGAAGTTGGTCATGTCCACCACCAGATCCTTGATCACGAACATGTGTGGGAGCGGCGTTACCATCGAGTCCGGCCCCGACGAGATCTTCGTCAGGCAGGCCAGCCCATTCTTGCCGTCGATGTTCATCGCGCACGACCCGCAGATGCCCTCCCGGCACGACCGCCGGAAAGTCAGCGTCGGGTCGATCTCGTTCTTTATCTTGATCAGAGCGTCCAGCACCATCGGCCCACACTCCTTCAGATCAATCTCGTACTCCTGCAGCTCCGGCTTCTGTGGGTTCTCGGGGCTCCACCGGTAAATTTGGAACTTCTTGATTTTCGCGCTCGCCGTCGCCTGCGGGGCATTCGCCTCCGAAGCGTGGGCTCTCGCCAAAGTCATCTTCGCCGCCGGGGAGGATGACACCTTAGTTATCGCTCGTCGGACCAAACTGGACGCCATGGCCGGAAAACCAATAACCAAATGATCGGAGAAAAGAGAAAACTGGAAAATAAATTCGCTTTAATCGAATGATATTATTCGGATTAGCCGCGGGGTTTTCGGGCATTTGGGTGAGGTAACGTTTGGAATGACCAATTTGGGCATGAGTACTTAGCAACTTACGTAGGTTTTTGAGGAATAATGGGTTTCTACATGGGCAATATTGGAATACAGAGTAATTTCGTCAAAGAATAATCTATTGCCGTAGATGAGTTGCGTGGTCTGGTGACGTGGCAAATCATGAGCCGTCAGCCACTTTCTCGGTAGCGTGGCTGCCTCGTGGACCCTATTATTGTTATTATTATTAGGAACTGATATAGAAAATCTTTTCAAATTCTTATATTAATTAATCAGACAACTAATAATACATCTATAAATTTTTAAAAATTATTTTTCCTTACTAAAATAATTCCGCAATGTTTACTCTTGCTATTAATGTATTAATTAATAATTAATTAATTAATGTATAATAATAAAGTTAAATAAATGAGATTCATTATTCCCATTAGTTATATAATCTATATCTATATCTATATTTTATATTTTATATTATTCTATATAATAACAAAAGTGATTGTCCAAGCTTTCAAACAAATAAAAACGTAAATTAAAAATATGAGTTAATTTCTTTGGTCCTATATTTATAGCGGGTAGACCACTTTTAGTCATTTTATCCAAATATTTTCTTTTGATCCTAGTATTATTATGACATGACCAATTTTGGTCCTCTATAAAAAAACGGTTGAAATTTTATTAAATACAAGGACATTTCGATCCTCAATTATGATTTTTTTAAAAAAAAAATAAACAAAGAATATATCAGATCAATGCACTTTGTATTAAAAAGATCAAAATGTTCTTTTATTTAACAAAATTTCAACGATTTTATTGATAGATGATCAAAATTGGTCAATGCCACAATAATACTAGGATTAAAAAAAAAAATGTTCTGATAAAAAAAAGACTAAAAAAATGTTCCTATAAATATAGAATAAAAAATGAAATTAACTCTTAAAAATATCTATAATATTAAGATATATTAAATTAAATAGAATACTTCAATTCTATTGAATTAGAATGAATTCGTCATTAAAAAAATTAAAAATTAAAATGATATATCATATTAAACTATCTTCATTGGAATTTAAACTTGTGATCTTTCATTTAGGAGAACCACAATAATGTCACTCGACAACAAAATCTTTAGCATTTATCTTATATTTATTTATTCATCAACTAACACGCAAAAATACGTGTAATAATCAAATAAAAAATGAATGTTGTTCTAGAAGTCTTGGTTCTAGACTCTTAATTAATTAATGAAATTAATTGTATATAAGCAATAGTATGAAGTATGAAAGCATGAAAGCATGAATGACCCAACTCATAACAGGGTGGAAGATGTTAGTTGGGTGCAACTACTACATGAATCGTGTGCATATATATTTGCGCACCCTCTATGTATTTTTTTTGTACAAAAATATTGTGTATTTTCATTAACTTATAATTGACTCTATCAAATAATATAATTATTGAATTTCATAATAATAATAATTCGTTGGTTGTTGTTCTTCATCTCATTCATCTCCCTTAAAACTCGGTCGCATCACCCTTTCTCTCTCTTGCTTCTTTTATCTCTTCCATTGCACCCTCTTGCAATCAATCTTTCATGACGTCTGTAAGTTCCTCTCCTACTTCCCTCTTTTTTCTTTTTCTCTTTTCGTCTTTATAAATTTTGATGGCGATGAATAACGTAACATGTATGTTTTCTGGAATCTTCGATTCTGTGTGTTACGTTGTTTGTATATGATCGGTCATGATTTTCTTTGCTTTTTTTTTCCGACGTTGTTGTCATCATCGGAATGATAATTGAGTCTTGATCAAACTGTTTGTTGATGTCTGGTTTGGAAATGCATATGGTTAATTATGTGGTATGATGATATGCAGGAAGAGAAAGGCCGGCCCCTGCCAAAATTTGGCGAGTGGGATGTGAATAATCCCGCCTCCGCCGATGGATTTACCGTCATATTTGCCAAGGCCAGGGATGAAAAGAAAGCCACCGGAACGTCGGGGACGGGGGTGCGGCAGGCAGCAAAACCAATGAACGGCGGACAGAATGAAAACGACAACACGGTACAATTCTATCTACGATTATCCTATGTTGTGGTAAAACATGTGTGTGTTAGTTGATGATGATCCGGTTGTTTGCAGAAGAAATGGTTTTGCTGTTTCTGAAAAACCGGAGCTTTTCTACTTGTGAAATGAAAGGTGAAAATTGAAGAGCAATGGCCATTGGGTGGTGGTATATTATGCTATTATTCATAGGCCAAATATCATCCCTTTCTAGTCCAGAAGGGGGGGCATGAGTTGTGGTGGTTGTTTTTCTTTACATACTATCATCATGTATAATATTGCACTTCAATTTAATTGAATGAAAAAAAAAAAGGGGGCAAGAATTATTCTAAATCCTGGCATTTCAAATTTCATGCTCTTATGCTACCTGTGAATACAAAAATCCTCTGCTTTGTCCAATCCCAGAAGCACATAATCAAGTTTGTGCCCGAAACTTAGTGCCTGGAGAACATATGCTGTCGATTGTCAAAGGTTTAGCTATTTGTTTCTTCATAAAATAGACACTCATGGGGAGGGGGAGAGGGAAGGGGGTGGGGTGAAGGTTTCTTGCCAGGGTGGAGAGATCCATTCACCGTGATCAACCGGATGGTTGAACAAACACCCACTCCCAAACTTGCACGTACCAAAGCGTTGATAATTACGGCATATAGGTTGACCCTGAACAAGATTACTAGAGTCAATAAACCCATAAAGCAGCATAAATTGAATTAAGAAGCAAAATAAAGGAACTAAACTATCAATGCTGGCAAATTTGTATTATATCCTTTCTTTTTACAGTTTTATCTTGAGGGGAGTAGCACTCGAATTCAATGCCATTTTGTCTTGTCAGAAACCAAATGAATGCAAATAAGTATAATTCAAAAATTATGCAAGAAAGTCATCAAAGGTGGATCATATGTTTACAATTCCCACATACAATTCCCAAACCTTTACAGGGTGATGTGCAGCCTGCTAAACATCACAAGCAATTACGGAGTAATACACATGAATAAATGCTCATATTGTTGGTCGACAATTCCATGACCAATTTCTTCCCAATTAATTTCTTTTCCTTCCTATAAAAACAATTCTTGTAAGCATGTAATTAGTTTCTTTTCCTGTTAGTTAACAATTCATAGGTTTTTACAAATAAATCACATACAAATGTGAAGGACCCCCACCTCTTCTCCCTGCCCAACCTAATGTCCTGTCCAGTATATTTCCCTCCATTTCTTTCTTTTTTGTTGGGTGGGCGGGAACAAGGCAAGTGAGTTTTGCATGCAAGTGTAACAAATGAAAATATCAACAGCACGTTTGGTTCACGGAATGAATTTGGAGGGAATAAGAATGTTATTCCACAGGGAATAAAATAGGTAAGGAATAGAATAGAAATTGTATTCTGTTGTTTGGTTGGCTGAAGGAATAGACTTTAGTAATTGTATTCCAGTGTTTGGTTGGTTAAAGGAATAGAAATGGAATAGGTTTTAAAGACATAAATACCCTTATACATAATAATAATAATAATAATAATAATAATAATGAATATGATTATGATATACTGAATGTATATATATATATATATATATATATATATATATATATATATATTTATATATTTACTTATATTTATATTTATATACATGTATATGCATGTGTGTGAGAGAGAGAGAATAATAATAATAATAATAATAATAATAATTATTATTATTATTATTATTATTATTATTATTATTATTATACAAATACATATTTATATTTATATTTATTTTCTCACTTATCCCACATCGGTTGGAGAAGTAAGGAATGGAGCCTTGAGGCTCCTATAAAAGGAGCTTCAAGGCTCCATATTTAGGAGCCAAGACTCCGTAATTAAGGAGTCTTATATAGTTAATTATATATACATATATATATATATATATATATATATATATATTCACACACACAAATAATTTATTTAAATATATATATTTATTGATAGATAGATAAAAATTATAATTAATTAAATATATGTATTTATATAATACATTATATTTATTAAATAAATTTTAATATTATGTAATGTGCAAAGGGTATTTTTGGTATTTGTGATATAAAAGCTATTCCCAAGGGCATGGGAATAGCTAATACCAAGAACCCCCCTAGGAATGGCTATTCCCCTTGCGAAGGTAATAGCTCATTCCTAGGCATGTTATTCCCATGACAAAATGATCCAACCAAACGTTGGAATAGGTCTATTCCAAGGAATGTTATTCCATTCCTGACCTATTCCATGAACCAAACATGCCACAAAAGTGAGAAGTTTTAAAATCTCAGAACACAGTGAGACACTTACAGGTCGCAGAGGTAGGCCCTTGTCATTGAGCAGAATATCTGGCTTCTGAGCCGGATGATGAAACCGACATAGAGACTTAAATTTGCAACCCCCAGTTTTCATGAAGTACGCACATTCAGGCTGACCAGGTCTTTCAGGAAATTCTTCAGACTGCATAGCCTTGGTGTGCTCAAAACTCTCTATTCTTTTCACTGAAGCATTTGACACCTGAGTGGACTGAGAAAGCCCATACCTCTGGTAGAGATAACTAGGGCCCTAATTTATTATATAATAGCAGAATTAGGATAATAGAAGACATTAGCAACATGATGAAGATATTTCTATATTTGTGCTGGAAGAAACAATTTTACATGCAATGGAAATGAGAGGATGGAAGGGTGGAAATGAAGGGGATGGTCAAGAAGTACCCTTCAATGAACATAGAATACAATGCCTCTCCCAAACCAAGCAGATCTATATAAACTAAAGTCCCCAGAGAAACCATGGTAAACATGTAATATGCCATAATGGATTTAAAATTTAAAAAAAAAAAAAAATGCTCGCCATAATATTTCACTTACTGTTCTAGGTTTTTGCTTGTGTGAGTGAAAAGTAAATTTAACTAGCAGCAGATCGTATAGAATCCTAGGATCACTATTTGATTCCCTCTGAGAGAATTATGAATAAACTCTTCTTACCCAATGCCAGCCAGATTAAATGCAAAAAAGAAAGACAAATAACGTATTGACTAGAAAATACAGAGAAGCATCTTACCTATGAAATTCAAATATCAGATTACACATTTAAAAATGGACAATGCTTAGTACCCCCCCTACACCTATCACTCACAAACTTGCCACTCCCTAATGTGGCAAGTTGTAATTGGTTAAGATATGAAATAAAAAGAAGAAAAAGGAAAATCAAACCAATTAAAACTTACCGCATGAGGGAGTGGCAAGTTTGTGAGTGGTAAATGTAGGGGCACTAGGCATTTTCCTTTAAAAATTGGCTCACAAGTCCTTTAAGGGAAAGAAGCTTGGAACCAGTTGGAAGTGCATCGAACTGACAACTGAGAACACTATTAGATGAATAGATGGGATGCACAGCCCAAAATAAAAAGTTAATGTGAGTTGTGACAACAGCATTCACTATAATTTTCAGCCTCGTCTAACTAACACTATGCCTCTTGTACAGAAAGAGACATCATGCCAGAAAAAGAAAAACTTGTATTGTTATGTTTCTAAATCACTGTAACCAGTAGCAAGTTGTACTGGTTTTAGTACAAGAAATTGTCCTCAACTTACACGATCTCAGCCCTATTCAAGAAGAAGGTTTATTCTTTTATTGTAAGAGAAATATGGCATCCATAATACCTAGAATAGAAGAATCAACACTTCATCTCTTGGCTAGGTGTTGGAAATAAGTCAATGAGAAGAAACAGCAGCAATGTAGAACTGTAGATATGTGAAGCAGACTCGTAGATGGAGGCAAATAAACTCTAAAGCACTTGGCTAAGGGGACCACAGAATGAGAAATTTATGGAAACACCAGATGAAACAAATAAGAATCACAGTTCCATACAAAACAAATTAAGACAATGGTCTAAAAGTAAAAATTCAGGACAAAACATAATTGCTCCAACTGAATGATAAATAATTTATACCAGATAGTTCTTCCTTTCAGAGTGCGAAGAAATATGCGATGAACTGAAACTTGGGAAAGAAAGAGTTTTATCAGACGACATATGTAAAGCGTCAGGTGGCCATGATGTTAGACCCAGTTGTGATGTCCCTGAAAAGTGCAATGATTCACCAGCATCAAGATTCCCAAAAGAACAGTGTGATTGTCCAACAGATTCATCATTCAGGGTTGAGGAAGTATTTAGTCCTCCCATTGGGGTAGGATTAGGATGGTGGAACACACAGTGAGCCCCATATCCACATGTACCATTACTCATGTAGAAAGGACACTCTTTCTCACCCTAGCAAAATAAGACAATGTATTTAGACTTCTAAAGTAAAAGTTCCATATTTAAGCAAAAACAAACGGTGCATGGTTTTATTATCATTGAAGAAAAATAGTAGGCTATAAATGGAGATACAAGGATATAGCAATAACAATTAAACAGCAACTGCAATAGAAGTACAATTCCAGAAAGTTTAGTACAAACATTTAAACCCAAGCACAAGAATAGCATTACCAATCGTATTGGCAAACCTAAGAAGTTAAACTGCAACTTAGATTCCCCTTTGGAGTGCATGTATCTACAAGATTCTCCATACTTGCAACCTCCTGCTTCTAAGTAAAACTGCAAATCAGCAGAAAACACCGCTTCAGCTTTTCCACATTTAGTGCAAGTAAATTAGTGCTGCAGATAAAGGTACTGAATGGAGTCAAGGTGGCAACATAACCTGAAAAAAGGTAACTACTTTTACTTTTAGTGTAACTAAGACAGGGCTGCAGATAAAGGGCTAAAATAAGTTGACTAGTAGCATAACTAAATACTCCGTACTATATAGGATTCTCATATCTGTTGAATCATTGTTCCAACCACAGGGTGCAATTTCAACTAACTTCAAGTGTAACCAGTAACCTGCCCAAACCACTAATTTTTATAGCATTGGGCAGGTAGCACTAAAACATGGGTCAGCTTGGGTGGATGGGTTTGTAGGGTTGGAACAGATCAGGAAAGAACATTCTCCCGCCTCTTTAATTCATATCATAACATCAATCCTCTTAGTTCACTATTCATGTTGCTTTGAACAAGTGCCAATGTCTCTTTCCTCAATTCAGACTCCACTTTCCTTCTCTTCCTGCTATTGCGAAATCAACTTTCAGATTCAGATGAATTAGTGCAGGTGCCTTCATCAACTTCTCCTTAGAGTTGTGAGAAAACTTCAAGATATTGTACTTTTCAAATAAATTGTTGTATGGGGTAAAACAAGCCAAAACCCATGAATGTAAAGTATGGCTTTCAACTAAAACAATAGAACTTGAAGACTAATAAACAGATTTCTGCAATGAGGCTTTAAGAAACAAAGCTTTGCAAATGAACCATGGACCTTTTTCTCCTGATATTCTCATCCAAAGTGTGTAACTGAATGGGTCTCTAATCAAAAGGAGCATTATAGTTACATGGCTTTTGCATTCCCATCTGGAGTATTAAAAAGGTATAATCTACAGTTCTATACTTCTATACCAAATGTGATTGAAGAATCTATTGGTTGGGAGAAACCTCTAAATGACAAACACTGAAGCAGAGTCATAGAGATACATCCTCATTAGTCATTACTGAATATAAAAGGAAAAATAATAGTAAGCTACAAACTATATCATCAGGCAAATAACCTATGCATGAGCTTTCTACACTGACATATACCAAAAGAAAAACAAAACGAAGTTTGGAGATAGTAAACACGAACCTTGCACACAATCTGAGGAGATTTCTTCAGAGAGCCATCCCTGTAGTTTTCCTCGACAACCTTCAAATTGAACAGAAAATCATCCAGATCAGTTAAGGACTAAGACATAAATTCACAAAACAAACCCTAGAAACAACAAGTCAACAACACTCAAAACCTGGCCAGGCATCCTCATCGGGTGATTGAATTTGCAATTGATGCCGAATTTGCAGGCCCCGGTCCGAAGGTAAAAGGCACAATCCGGAACATTAGGCCGGAGAGGAAGCCCAAAGGTGCTACGCTGGCCGGAGTTGAGAGCGATACTGGCGAAGTTCTCAGCCAGAGCCAGAGTTTCCTCTTCCTCCTCCTCCTCCTCCGAGGAAGTGAAACCGCGTCTCCGCATATCCATGGCTGCTGCGCTGCATACGAAACCTTAAGCGTTAAGGAGACGGAGGAATAGACGGACCGAATTCCAGTGGACAGCAAGTGATGAGTGCGAAGCAGTGTGTGAAGTAGGGAAGAGTGAAGAAGATGACGACGAGGGAGAGCAGAACGGTTTGTAACCTTTTTCCCCGCTGTCGAATCCCCACGCCACCCCTGCGGGCCCCTCACCATACCCTCCATGCAGAGCAAACAAATGATGCCATTTTGGATAAATAATAATAATAATAACGAGCTTATTTCACTTTTGTCTATTGAACCATTTTTATAGGAAAAATGTCACTTTTTTTCACATGAATTATATGCTTATAATATTTTTTCCCTTGATTTATTTATGTATTCATATTTTTTCCTCAGTTATGTTATTAGTGACCAGTTTTTTCTCCTTTATTGTTAAATAGAAAATAGACATTTTTACTTTTAAAAATAAATATATCATTTATTTTTTCTCCCCAATAAATTATTACATATATGTAAAGATGAGTACGGTTCAATTTGAACCTAACCATACACGGTAACAATCAAACCGAAATAGTAAGAACGGATTTGGTTACGATTTAGAACCGAAATAAAATAAAATAAAATAATTGTTGAATTAAGACTATTTTAAAAATTAAAAAAAAAATAGAATTTACAAAAATAAATAAATAAATTTTAAATCAGCAGTTCAAAATCGAAATTGGTACCAAACTAAACCGATTTATCATTTACCAACCGTGTTTGATCATTTTCACATTTATTCAAATTCTACGTATAAGTAAATATAACTACGGTTCGATTATGAAAAATGATATATCGTAACAGAAACCTTTTAAGAATGTTCGAGTTTCGATTGAACCGCCAGTTCATAGTTCAACGAAATGATAAATTGAAATAGGAACCTTTTAAGAAGGTTTCATGTGTGAGAACGTTTGGATCACATGAAGCGTATAATATTTTTAATTAAAATATACTACTTTTAATTTAAAAAGCTACGGAGTAGTATTATATGTCATACTTAAAACAATTTTATACCACTTTTCTGAAGGAAGAAAAACAAAAACAAACAAACAAAAAATAGAAATTGTGGCTTACTTTTCCTAATGTTAATTTTAATTTCCAGAATCATTGTACCCACCATGTAAAGATCGAAAACAAATGTTAGAATGTCGATTATTTTTCCTTGAAAAGATATGGTAATGAGTTATTTTTAAGTCAATTATTTCTGAGTCTCATTAATATAATTAACACATTGAAATTCTGTTCAATAACGCTAATAACTTATGCATTAATAGAGGCGGAGTCAAGATTTGTTGGTGCGAAACAATCGCAATTTGAAAGAGAATAATAAAATACATTAATATTCATTTAACCTATTCCAAAATACATCATTATATTACAAGTCTACTCAAATTTAGAACGTCTTTTTTACATGTTAAGAAAACCGTCTATAATTGAATCTATACTAAATTGTTTTGCAATTTATTTTTCAATGTATACTAACAAACAACCATTAAGAATCTGGAAAACAAAAAAGAATAAAAATATGTATAAGCCATATTTTTGGCTTATACATATTTCAAGAATAAGAAATTTGGAATCTGTTAAACAATATGTGATTGTGTACGTAGAAGAAACTTGCATGGGCAACTCAACTGGTCATAGAGGTGAAAAGTTGGAAGAATGACCAGGGATCGAGTCTCACTAACGGTAGTGTGGGAGCTACCTGGGGGCTGCTCTGTTGGGCAAAAGTTTTTGTTTGGAGAGTGCAGATACTTTGGGGCAAATTAGTTCCAAAACTGTTTATAATTATGAATATAGAATTCAAAAACTATCAACATAGAGTTTTGTAATTGTGAATATGAAGTTCAATAATTGAGAATATGAAGTTCAAAAATTATGAACATAGAGTCTTATAATTATGAACATAGAATTCTATAATTATGAATATAGAGTTTAAAAATTATGAACATAGAACTTTATAATTATGAACATAAAATTAAGTAATTATGAACATAGAACCGTGTCCACCTTACACGATTCCATAACATAACAATCCATACTTTGGTGAGGTGGATGGTTAGGGGAGGCAAGGGCCCAACTGCCCAAGGCCCACAGTTACCATGTAGGTTCTTCTAAAATTTAAATCTTCTACCCCTACATATAATAAAAAAAAATATGAATAGATAAAAATGTCCTTACTAAAAATAGAAAAAGTAATGAGAATGATTAAAATTGTCTAAAAAATAATAGTCTAGGGATGTTAAATTACAAAAATGATAGTTTGTGACTAAATTTGGAATTGTCACCAAAGACAAGCGACCTCTGGTGGAATTAACTATTTTAAAATTGATCAATGTTTATCGTCTTTCAAGTATTGATTTTGTGTCTTTTTGGTCCTCCAGTATATTTTGCATCAAATAGTTGTTTGAGATAAGAAGATCTCAAGTTTGACTTTTCATAGGGGTTGCCTATTAGCCTTCTTAGTTTGAGCCGAACAACTATAACTAACCTATGTTGGTTTAACTCTTTACAGGGCGTTTGGTTGTAGGGGGAATTATGTGGGAAAGAAATTGTAATTCCATGGGAGTTGAATTACTGGGAATAAAGTGAGAATTTAAATTCCAGTGTTTGGTTGATAGGAATAGAATTACTGGGAATTTCAATTCCAATGTTTGGTATACATGGGAATTGAAAGGGAATAAGTAGTATAAAGTCAAAAATGTCCATTATTGTTGTTAGACATTAATTTTAGGTTAAAAAGGAAAGGGTAATTTTGACTCATCACTATCTTTTTTTCTCAGGAATTAAAATCCCAAGAGGGGACATGGGATTTTAATTCCATGAAAATGGGGGAATTGCAATTCCATGGAATTGCAATTCCCTCCAACCAAACTACGGAATTTAATGGCCTTTGGAATTAGGTGATAATTAAGTGGGAAGGGAATTTAAAATCTCTCTAACCAAACGTCCTGTTATGGTCCTTTACCGACTAAAGTCATAAGGATGGTTTCACCTAGAGTGCTCCATCACGTAACACTCGTAACAGTTACGACTTTTCCCTAAATCAAGATTATATTGTTTGAGATATCTCTAATAAAATCAATTAAGATGTGTGGTTGGGGAATATAATCATATATGATTGTGTGATGTGTACTATATATATGACAAATTTAGTAATGGTTATGTGGTCGATGTGTAAGAGCATCAATATTAGTGAGTATTGAGGAGTTTTTGGAACAGTAAATGCTGAGTTGGTGGAGAGAGAAGGCAAGAGAGATCACATGTGAGTTTATTTGTGAGGATGAGTTTTTTTTTTTTCTTTTCTTTTTTGCAGAAATATGGAACCCACTGAAGAAATTTTACAGTCGCGTGCGTGTCACAAGCGCACTCCCTGACATGCTAACAGTAACTTTTTTTTTTTTAAATCAGTTTTGTTTTTGTTTTTGTTTTTTTTTTTTCTTTCTCTTTTTTCTCTTCCCTCTCATATTCTCTTTCATAATCACACTTACAAGAACTCTTCAAAAAAAAAAAAAAACAAAACAAAACAAAACAAAAAAAAAATTCACGGATGCTCTAAAGTAAAAGAAAGAGTGCATAATGTATGTTAACAGTACAACTTGACCTTTATAACATAACATATATAGTCAAAGATCTGTCCATACCAAAGACATTACCATGTGAGGCTTTAATATTACTATAATTGGTACCCAACTACACAAGTCACCATTTCACCTAACTCTACACACACCAAAGAGTAAAGAGTTTAGCCATGTTTGATAAAATATTTAGATATCAATCAATTTTGATATATTTGACGATCATTATTAGTTGTTTAACTTAGTTAAATAATCAATTTAAGTGTTTGATTAATTAGCTTTTTGTAACAATTTATTGTTCTAAAATTTTAATACGCAAAAAGCTGCTCAAAAGTAATTTTTTTCAATAAACTTCTTAAGAAAATCATTTTGCAGGTAATCAGCTACCAGCTAATTTACCAAATAATTTTCTACATTACTAACTAGTCAAACTCACTAATCCAATCAACTAACTTATTTACCAAACATCACTCTCATTAACTAATCAATGGTGATAAATAACTCACACTCCAGACTCTTCTCGCCATAAACTTGCTCGGGTCATTATCAAATATTGGATGACCCTTTCCAGCTAAACTAACTTCAATTCTGTTCTAAAAAAAAAAAAAAAAAAAAAAAACTTCAATTCCAATTCAAAGATTATCTAAGTTCTATAACTCTATTAATGAGCTGATCTGAGCTTAGATCTGAACCACACTCCCTGCCGTTTCTATATCCGATCCGTGTAGAAAACATCAGAGTCCGCTGGGTACAGTTTCTTCAGTGCTTGTTGGACGGCCATGGAAACCGGTTTCTATGAACACCTCAAATCTCAACCGCCATGGCTTCTTCTACTTCTAGCTCTCGGCTTTTTCAAACTTGTCGCCTTTTCACTAACCATTCTGGAATGGGTCCGAGCCAACTTTCTCCGGCCGGCCAAGAATCTGAAGAATTACGGCTCCTGGGCGCTGGTAACCGGAGCTACCGACGGCATCGGAAAAGCCTTTGCTTTCCAGTTAGCTCGTAAGGGGCTGAACGTAGTTCTGGTGGGCCGGAATCCGGAGAAGCTGAGAGACGTTTCCGGTGGGATAAAGGCCAAGTATGGGCAGATCCAGGTGAAGAGTGTGGTGGTGGATTTTTCCGGCGACTTGGACGACGGGGTTCGGAGAATCCGAGAGGCGATCGAGGGGCTTGACGTCGGAGTGTTGATTAACAACGTGGGTGTTTGTTATCCGTACCCGAGGTTTTTCCACGAGGTGGATGATAAGCTGTTGGGCGATGTGATTAAAGTGAACGTGGGAGGGACTACTAAGGTTACTCAGGCGGTTTTACCGGGGATGCTCCGGCGGAAGAGAGGGGCGATTGTCAATATTGGCTCCGGTTCCGCCATTGTTATCCCTTCAGCTCCCCTTCATGCAGTTTATGCCGCCACCAAAGCGTAAGTTAGCTGTATACACACTCTTTACGGCATCCATTTAATTACGTCTCCCCTCATTTTTCCTTTTATTGTTGTTTTCCTTGAAAAAATGGTCCCTAAAGTTTATATAAAAACAAATGGCCCTTAAACTTTTATAAATTACAATTAACCACATATATATGTTATTTTTGCAAATTATAATCTGAAATTTGATAATAATTTGTAATAGTAGGTCATTAGAGTTCGTGTGATGTTATAATTAGTTATGGGGATTAAAAGTTAAAATTGACTATGGTCTGCCCGTGATGAGGTGACCAACAACCATTTGCTAATTGTGAGTTTTTATCCCGGAGTTAGTCGGAACATCATATCACTGGAACCTAATGACTTGCTATTACAAATCACATATTTTTTTGTGATTTTTTTGTATAAAGTTGAGGGATCCATTTGATCATTTTTTTTGTTTTTGTTTTTGTTTTTGTTTTTGTTTGTGAGTGATGAGAAAAATCCTAGCCACTATTCAGAGTGTACTTATGGTAATTAAATTCTGTCTTGTAGCCTTAATTGATAAAAAAGTGATAAGTCAACTTAAATTGTTCACAATTGATGAATTTAAACGAAGAAGTAAGGTTAATAATAGACTTGACCGAGTAGAATTGCATGCCCTGCATGTCCACTTTGATTTCCTGCAAATCTGTAATAATATTTTGCCATGCATCCTGTCATCTCTGCAACTAAACGATTTTTTGATTCTACTTTCAGATACATTGATCAATTCTCAAGATGCCTTTATTTGGAGTATGGCAAAAGTGGAATTGATGTGCAATGTCAAGTATGTATTGCTCCCTACTCCCATCTCAAAACCTGTTGATCTACAGCCATACATATACAAACACTCATAACTTGAAGCCAATTAACAAGATTAAAACTTGAAATCTCACTGAAAACAAAGAATTTGGTATATATATACAATCCACACATATATGTAAGCTAGAGTATAGTACTGCACCTAGGGGGCAACCTATGCCAGGCCAGTCAAGTCGATCAAACTATTACTTCGTATAGTTTGGCAATAACAAGATTTCAAGTTCAACGACTTACAATAGAAACTGTTTATTATTAACATTTTTGGTTTGAGCTGGTTTACCCAGATCAAAAAGTAGCTGCCCAGATTTCCATTGTATTTTGCAGGTACCATTATATGTGGCAACCAAAATGATATCAATCAGGAAATCATCATTCTTTATTGCATCAACAGAGGAGTATGCGGAGGCAGCATTGCGGTGGATAGGTTATGAAGCAAGGTGCACCCCATATTGGCCCCATTCTCTGCAATGGGCTTTGGTCTATTTCTTCCCCGACTCTGCTATTGATGCCTGGCGACTCAGGGATTGCATGGGAATCAGGAAGAAGGGAAAGCTCAAGGATTCAAGGAAGAAGCAGGAACTGATGATGCAACTAGCTTCTTCAGCCTCAAAAATTAGTACCACTTGAGTGAACAAATACTTGTCATTTTATGAATATTGCATTGACTATGTTTGAGAGGTCATATTGTAGCAAGAATAATATCATATCAACATGCAATGTACTTTTTACTTTAATTTAAACTTTTGGTTGACATTACTATATGTTTTAATTGATTAAAAAATGACTGTTTTTACTAAGTTCCTTTTCTTTCTCCAGTAAAATACAGATATGTAACAAGAGTTTTTACTTAATTGGAATATACACTTATCATTTTTCTTGGACAAATCGAGCAATGGTTGTGTGCATGGTGTGTAAATACGAAAGAGTAGATGTTGTTAGGAACTTTATTCGCGGTGAGGTCATTTTAAGATGGTTTTCATGTGAAATGGTGCACTTTTTAATCGAAAAGCACACCATAATTATGATTAGGTCCAAACTGAAAAAAAAAAAAAAAAAAAAAAAAAAAACAAATCTCTTATATATTACTTGATGTCAAAGATTTACTTCGTGTCGTTTTTCCAAATGCGTTTATCTCTTTTGCTAAACGATCAACGAAAACTACCAATTTGTTAGTTAAGAATTCTCTTTCTTTGTTTAGTTGTAAGGAATGGTTTAATCACCCTCCCTCGTTCATTTGTAACGTGCTGTCTTCAGGCCTCTTGTTAATGAATTTTCTTCCTTTGGTATTAACAAAAGAAAAAAATTAATTTATACCTTACTAGGAAAAAAAAAAAAAGAATAAGTTTGTTTATACATATTTCATAGTCAAAGAATTGTACTTATCACCACATGAGTTTTTCATACTATATATATATATATATGAGAGAGTTCCATACCACATACATGTCATACTACATGCATCACCATTTCAACTGACTCTAACATACCACATAAAAGAAACAAATAATATATATTAGTTCACCGTAAATGGTGATAGTGTGTGAGTACAATTACTACAATGGAACATTATTCTCGTATAAAAAAATTACGAGTTTGATATTTACAAATACTCTTTTAGTCAAGTCCATTACATAAAGCATATATATATATATATATATATATATATATATATATATATGAAAATAAGTAATTTGGAGAGTTGGTAAGAAGACAATTAATGCAATTCTAATTTTTCTTAAGTAAGAGTTAATGTATGTTACAGAGAAAACGCAAACCAAATTCGAATTAGTCTTGGACTGATTATGTGTGGGGTAGAAGGGGGTGGAAAATTAATGTATGGACCATGGTACACACAATGATGTGTACCATTACAAAACTACATTTTTAATATACAAAACTGAATTTACATTATACAAAATCATGTACTTTTAATACTCAAATAATGTATTTTCTTTAAATATAATGTATATTTTTAATATATTAAAAATATATTATTTGTATATTAAATATATATTATTTGATGATATGATCCACACAATTGTGTTAATGTTAATGATTGGGAGAGTGCTAAGTCAAACCTAACTAAGATTTGTTTAGTCTTATGATTATGAAAACGTGTAAATTTTGTTTAAGTGCAGAGTCTTCTCACGTGCAATTGTTATGACATGGACTCGGTCCACCTTGCAAGGTGGACCCAGGTCCAAAAAGACGTAACTTTGCATGGTTGGAATAATTGTATCGTTAGTGGTATCGTTTCCTCAGTTAATGATATTTTTTTTTTTTTAATTTGTGTGAATATAAAATTCAAAAATTGTATTATATTGTTGATACAATTGTGAATATAGAGTTATGTAATTATGAATATTGAGTTTTGCAATTGTGAATATTGAGTTTTTTTTTTTTTTTCTTTTTTTTTTTTTTTTTTTTTTTTAAGTTAGGGGATCTAATTGGAGTATACAGTTGACTTAAGAGACGAGTTTGACCATTTTTTCTATAATTAATAAACAAAAAGTGTTTGCATGGACAGTTAGTCACATGGTAAACTTTGGGAACAAACCCAAAATAGTCTCATAAGCTACAATGTGGGGTAACCTCACAAAGTGAGGGGCTACTTGTCTGCCTGTTGCTGCTTTCTGCGGCTCATCAATTGTCTGTCCTGAAAGGTGAGCTCCAATCTGCACCTTTATGCTCAAGAATATAATTAATTTATATACAATTATGTTTATCAGTTGGATTTTTATATTATTCTCAAGTGGGTAATTGGTATAATATGTTTTGTAAATGTTGTAATGTGTGTTCTTAATGGCTTCCCGTTGTTGTAGTTCAATTTATATACATTTATGTTGTTGTAAAGTGTGTATTATAAATGTGGTTCGGTTGTAAATAGATTTTAAATTGCTCTGATATAACTTGTTAGGATTAAACTGCTTTGATAACACTTGTATTTGTTTTAATTTAATTTGTAATATTGTCATTTTTTTTTACCTGTCTATAATTAGTCTATAGTCCCCGGCTATTACACGTAAATTTGTATCACGTGAGGCTGTTTTTTTTGTTTAATTTGTTTATAAGTTTCATGGCAGCATTTTATAGGAATTAAACTGCTCTGATACTGTTCTGATAATACTTGTATTTGTTTTAATTTAATTTGTAATATTGTCTTTTCCTCTTTATAATTAGTCTATAGTCCCCGACTATTACACATAAATTTGTATCATGTGAGACTGTTTTTTTGTTTAATTTGTTACAGAGGTCAGTCTGGAGAATCCAGTTGTGGATGTAACTCCAGTTCCCCTCGCTGCATCATCTGGAGATCTCATATCCTGTGAACGTATTTTGGTGGCTGGTATATAGAGAATGAAACTGTGGAGTTACTTTAGGGCATATCGTGTCACTTTACGCCCATCACCCTCTTTTCCTAAGAGGTTTCGTGGTAGAATTAGTATATTATCTCACAAGTAAATTTAATGTTTGTCAGCATTTTATTTTAATAATAATAATAATAATAATAATAATTATTATTATTATTATTATTATTATTATTATTATTATTATTATTATTATTTTGTGATTTGATTTCTATTATAAATTATCCTGCGAGATTTCTTCTCTTGGTTCATGTCAATATCATGAAGTTCAAGGGAAAATTTTATAAGATGGGGGTTGGAACCGTATTATGTCACCTTACGATGACAGAATCATTGATGTAAAATACATTGGTGATATTTGTGGTCCTGTGACTGTAACGGTTGAAGAGCGTAAGATGTTGCCATCATGATGTCTTTGCTTATGAAATCTTTTCCCATCGTTATGTTTAGGTGACTTATTATTTTTAACTATTTTTCCTCTTAGTCCTCTGGTCGAATTTCTCGATATTGAACTTGATGACATGCGACATCTTTAAAAATAATTCTCACGCTCTGATATCACTCTGATACGGATTCTCAATATATATAAACTCTCAAATGAGAATTAAAATGATTATATATATATATATATATATATATATATATATATATATATATATATTATCATTTTTATTTGTTTTAAACCGCTTTGATACCACTTGTTAGGAATTAAACTGCTCTGATAATATTTGTATTTGTTTTAATTTAATTTGTAATATTGTCATTTTTTTAACCTCTCTATAATTAGTCTATAGTCTCCGGCTGTTACACATAAATTTGTATCTTGTGAGACTGTTTTTTTGTTTAATTTGTTACAGAGGTCAGTCTGGAGAATCCAGTTGTGGATGTAACTCCAGTTCCCCTGGCTGCATCATCTGGAAATCTCGTATCCTGTAAACGTATTTTGGTAGATGGTATATCGAGAATGAAACTGTGGAGTTACTTTAGGGCATATCGTGTCACTTTACGCCCATCTCCCTCTTTTCCTAAAAGGTTTCATGGTAAAATTAGTATATGCTCTGACAAGTAAATTTTATGTTTGTCAGCATTTTATTTTAATAATAATAATAATAATAATAATAATAATTATTATTATTATTATTATTATTATTATTATTTTGTGATTTGATTTCTATTATAAACTATGCTGCGAGATTTCTTCTCTTGGTTCATGTTAATGTCATGAAGTTCAATGGAAAATTTTACAAGATGGGGGTTGGAACCGTATTATGTCACCTTACGATGACAGAATCATTGATGTAAAATACATTGGTGATATTTGTGGTCCCGTGACTGTTACGGTTGAAGAGCGTAAGATGTTGCCATCATTATGTCTTTGCTTATGAAATCTTTTCCCATCGTTATGTTTAGGTGACTTATTATTTTTAACTGTTTTTCATTTTAGTCTTCCAGTCGAACTTCTCGATATTGAACTTGATGACATGCGACATCTTTAAAAAAGATTTTCACGCTCTGATATCACTCTGATATGGATTCTCAATATATATAAACTCTGAAATGAGAATTAAAATAATTATATATATATATATATATATATATATATATATATTGTCATTTTTATTTGTTTTAAACCGCTATGATACCACTTGTTAGGAATTAAACTGCTCTGATAATACTTGTATTTGTTTTAATTTAATTTTTAATATTATTTTTTTTACCTCTCTATAATTAGTCTATAGTCTCCGGCTATTATACATAAATTTGTAACATGTGAGACTGTTTTTTTATTTTAATTTGTTACGGAGGTCAGTCTGGAGAATCCAGTTGTGGATGTAACTCCAGTTCCCCTCGCTGCATCATCTGGAGATCTCGTATCTTGTGAACGTATTTTGGTGGCTGGTATATCGAGAATGAACTTTGGAGTTACTTTAGGGCATATCGTGTCATTTTACACCCATCTCCCTCTATTCTTAAGAGGTTTCATGGCAGAATTGGTATATGCTCTCACAAGTAAGTTTAATGTTTGTCAGCATTTTATTTTAAAAATAATTATAAGAACAAATTGCACTTTTGGTCCTGTGAGTATTAGGGTACTGACAATTTGAGTACGTGACTTTCAAAACTCTCAATTTAGACCTTTAACTATGCAAAAATTGACAGATTTGGTCCTCCGGGCCAAATTGCCGGCCAATTTTGGCCAGAAAAACATAAATTGGTTCGAATTTATTTGTGTTGAGGGCAAAATCGTCATTTCACTCCCTTCTTCTTCATTCTCCCTTTCTTCTTCGTTCTTCTTCTTCTTTCTTTCTTCTTCTTTGCTGCTTTTGTCGTGATTCTACTTTAACATTCTTCTTCTTCTTCTTCGAATTTATTTTTTCTTTTGTCG